GCTCGCTTTTTGTCAGCGACATGAAATTTTTCAGTGAATGTCCGAGACGTTGCCGAAAAAAATTATAAAAAGGAATACTTTATGGCGCGACTAGTACAAAGCCTACATGCATATTATACAGCGGCGGACCTGATCCAGTGGCAAAAAACGTGCCAATTTGCATCCGGGAAGTATCAAAAAATGTGGCAAAATACCTCTCCATCTTTAAAATTTTTAGGAATTGTTGACATGGCTAAAATTTTCAGAAATGATTGATATACCAATCTTTTTGTAAAGTCGACTACATAAATATTTGATCCAGTGGGAAAAAAGCGAAACATTTTGCATCCGGGAAGTATCAAAAATGTGGCAAAATACATCCCTAACGAACTAAAAAACCTCTGTTTTGAAAGCCTCTCCTTCACAAAAAGAGGGACGCGCTTTTGAAATCGGAGATTTTTCACTTGAAGAAGGAGGTATTTTACCACACTTTTTGGTGCTTCATGGATGCAAAATGAATTCGTTTTTTGCCATATCAGGTCCACAACTGTCATTTTTTAATTCTTTTAAATAACTTTCAAAAAACATTTTTTCCCACAAGCCAGTTTTACTGGGCCATAAGGGCCATCAACATAAAACATTGCCGTAATTGTCATAATAATTCAAGGCATACAATGGAAATAAATTTTTCAAAACCCTAAATATATCGCATCTAAAACAGGCCCTTTAAGTCGAATAGCTGTGACAAAGACCGCAAAAACCCCTCAAGAACAATCTCCGAAACACCCCCACGAGTCGTTGCCTCCGGCAACGATTCAAACTCCACAAATCAACCGTCGCATTTATAGGCCCGCGAGTTTTTCTTCGGAAACCCCGCAGGGCATAAAATCACTGGTCCTGAAAGAGTTTGAAAACGGTCCGCCTCGTGATCCTCCGCGCTCCTCCACTTTTCCCGCTTCTCGGAAGAGTAAATAAATTTGCGTAAGGAGGTTAAATTTGGCCCGAGAACGTGGCCACAAATTGGAGAGGAGCGCCCAAAAATAGAATGATTCCGGCCGAAACGCATCAAACAACATGATGGGGGCGGGCGATGAAAGTAAACAGAGACATGGGAAATCATGATCAATGTTTTCAGGCTTATGATGGCATCAGAATTTCCGTTTCCTGCTATTTTGTCAGTCTGTCGGGGAAATAATGTGGATTTATCAGTCTGTCGGGGAAATAATGTGGATTTATCAATCTGTCTGGAAAATAATGTGGATTTATTAGCCCGTCGGGAAAATAATGTGGATTTAGCAGTCTGTCGGGAAAATAATGTTGATTTACCTTCAAATCGCCCATCACCACATTGCGACGGCTATCTGCAGCCGGCGATTTGATCCGCGACCGCGACGAGGTGAGACATCACTTTTTGCGACAAATCCACATTATTTTCCCGACAAAAAATGCAGTTAGCGACAAGTTCAAATGCACTGTGCGAAAGAGAAAAAATATCCATGTAATTTGTGAGAATACAAATACGCCGTTTCAAAAAGTGCGTAGACTCTTTTGTCGCTAGTTTTCTTTTTCCGCACAGTGACTTATTGTTAGTTAGATCGGAGGTTCTCCGATCTAGTAAACGCAGCGAATGCGGACTTGGTGCTAACTGAGGATGATGATCCTGGCCCTTGATGACTCCCTCAGTCATATGATGTTTCCCCGCCCACATGTTTACGCCTAGGGCGATCTTTGGCTTATGACGCACTTCCGTTGTAAAGTATAAGTCATAAGAAGGTTCTAGCCCCTTACGACAAGACTTGGACATGTAGATATAGCTTGACTAAGCTGCTGTCCTTGACATCCCAGCCTCTGTCCAGGATATCTTGGCCCTTGTCAACAACGTCCGCATCTCTATCTTCAACACCAAGGTGTCGAGTGATGAGGTGCACCTCATCAAATGGCCCCATCATCAGCATTCCAGAACGTCCAAGTCCCGCCCAGCCGGTGCCCTATATGTATAAGCCCAGTCAGTCGACCAATCCAGGAATTCCCCCATCGGCTTCGATCGGTATTAATCTCTAGAGATCTTATTATTGTCATAGTATACTACTGTTGGTTGTTATTCGAGCTCATAAATGTACAGAATATATTCTACGTGGGTATTGTACCACAATTCCAGACAGCAAGCTGTACTTGTGCTACGTTGCGGCTTCAGTGTTCTGAAGCAAAGACCCACCGACAGTCTAGTCAAGCAGCCCACAGGCTAGGGCAAAGGTAGGGCATCTCGCTCCCTCTTATTCATCTAACTAATTTCGCCTTCTGAAGTTAGTTAATTTTGCGTGCGCGACAATGCGAAGTAGCTCAAAACATAAGTCTCAAAAAAATCCGCCTTGTTCTAGACTATGTTTCCATTAAACTTCAAACAGGGGCGAGGGAAACTCTTGCAGAAATCAGCAAAACCGCAACATTTTTTAGGCGTTTTTAGCTTAGGCTTCGAACAGATAAAAGGCTACCAATTTTTTATATGAAACATATATGGTGAGGTTAAGCAGGAGGCCAGCTTCAAATTTATGTATGCAATAACGCCATTCTGCCCCATTTCCATGTGTAATCAAGTTATCTTTGGAGCAAAAAATTATCTTTGGGCTAAAACAAAATGCCAAGAATTTTCCATTGCTTGAAAACGCGCCACGACAAGTAATCTACGCACTTTAGAAAAGGCGGGTAAGCAAAACTGACACTATTGCAAGTTTGCCAAATGCATTATTTTGACACTTCCTGACACTCTCTTTGATTGGCTCCTCATCACCTACCATGCCGAAATCAAATTTTACTTGGGTTATGCGTCCGTAAGACAATAAAATAGCATAAATAATTATCTTTGGAAAAGATATTAGGCATGAAAAAAGGCCAAAAATCAGTCTGTCGGGAAAATAATGAGCACTCTGTCGCATTACAAATTGACGCATCGAAAGTCGTCTCGCCGCCGAGAAAATGAATTGTGTCACGGCTAAATCAAATTGCTTTTCACTTCAGCGACGAGATCGGTGCGGCCATATATTGCTCATTAATTTGCCGACAGACTGATATGCCATTTTTCTAGACCAGAAGAGCTTAAAAAATGTATTTTTTAAATACGAGCGACATATAAAAATTGTTTTTCGTATAGCTATATGTACAGGGTGCGCCAAAAAAAATGGACAAAAATAAAAACGGTTGTGTCTCGCCACGAAAACCGTAACGAGTAGGGAAAAAGATGCGATTACGACCGCAAAGGTCCCATTTGCAAACCCCTTAAATCTCTTTTTTCCATTCCCACCAGTTTTTTCAACATGGACAAAAAACCAAAGAGGTACTTAGTTGTGCCTTTATTTTCTATAGAATTTTCTCGGAAGAAAATAGTTTGACGTTGTGGTTCTCTCGGTACAACTGTAACCCGAGCTTCGGATAAGTTCGAGGATGTTGATAGCGTCCAGAAGTTTCTAGGGAGTGATAAGCCCAGGACAGAAAAAACTCCGGCTCGGAAGAAGAGCATCGGAAGTCGGAGTGACCCAGATCCTTGCAGATCTTTGGAGCGAATGGCTTCTGAATTGAATATCTCGGAGTTGTCGGTCATAAGAATTGTAAAAACCGACATGAGGTGTTCCTCATATTTTATTCTACGTGGGCTATGCGTTGATTCTACAGAAAAATGCAAGGCGCGGCTCCAGTGCGTCCAAAACTTGAGAACAGAAGCCCCTGACACGGTCGTTTGCACGAGTATCCACCGTTTCCGCTTTGAGCCCTCGGCGCTCCGCCGAAAACGCAGGTTTAAGCTTGAAACTTCTTGACGCTATAGAAGAGACGTAGATTTATTCAGGATAGGCTGTTTGAGCCAGTTAGAGCTAACGGCGGGTTTGCAGCGTATCTTTTAAGAAAATCATCCATTTTTCGTCCAAAATTTTGAAATTTTGTCACTACCTCGAAGCATGATGATGCCGGAAAGTTAAAAATCGGTGTGTTTAGTACGTACTCGGTCGGGTAACAACCCAAAGCTTAACAGTTATCCAAAGCCTAATCAGTTTCTCACTACAAAATTTTTTCTGGTTTTCGAAGTTTTGAGTTTTATTTTTTTGCCTCAGCAACGCAAGTTTGGATGTCCGTGGCATTGAAATGTAAAGTTACTATTATTATTCCTTTGCATATGTGATAGCACTCGTCTTAACGTATTCGGCAACTTTTATTTGAGGTTTTGGTGACGGCTCAAAAAATATTTATGCCTGATTTTCCAAAGGACCCATTTTCGAGAATTGTGATCGGGACATGGTCAACTTGAACCCCCGAGAAAAAAAGTTGCAGTAAAGTTATACCTCCGTTCTTATCGTGAATATACTGTTTGAACATCGCTATTTATTGGACCAAAACGTTTCCCCAAATAATCCATCCCAAGAGCCAGATATCTGCAAAAAATTTTTGTCCATTTTTTTTGGCGCACCCTGTACAGGGTGATTCAAAAAAATGAACAAATTTTGAATTTGGTGTATCCCACCACAAATACCGTCGTCGGTGGAAAGAAAAATAGTTTTATAATTGTCAGCTGTCCTGCTTCATGACACGCATTTCAATAACAAAAATATTTTCGCTGAACGGCTGATATATACGAGTGAAAATACTAGGTCAGCCCATGTTCTGACCATGTTTTCCGAAAATTTTGTAGGTCCAAAAATCTTTAACAGCCTGAATTTTTACAGCCAGCTAAAAACTGCGTGTTGACTGTTTATTGCACAGTGCGGGGTCGCAAAAAAATTTTAGGAGTTTTTGTCGCGAGCAGAGCTTTTCTTACAATTAGCGATTTTTTCGGGGAACTACCAAAAAAATTTTTTTAATTTTGTTTTTTTTTTTATTTTTTTACAAATTATTTATGAAAGTCGTAAAATCAGGGATTTTTGTGACATAGTGTAAGTGTAAACCGGCAAAAAAACACAAAAAATAAAAAAAAGTAAAATTTTTTTTTTTTTTTTTTTTTTTTTTTTTGTGACACACACACATATTATACATTCAACTTACGAGTTGTACATGACATTCTTCACATAATACTCTCGGCGCACGCGTTTCGCGGGCCGCGGCGTCCGCAGGAAGGAGCGCTGCAGGCAGGCGGCGGCGGAGAAGTCGACCGGAATTGCGCAGGGAGCGGTCAGGCGTCGGGACAGCCGACTCCACGCCTCCTCCATACTCCAAGTGCGGCGGCCGCCCGAGCGCAGCCGGCGCGCCCTCGCCGCCCTGCCCTCGAGGGAAATCGGCGGGGGAGTGGCGGGGAAGGAGTGGACGAGCCGCCGACGCTGCGCCGACCGCTCACCGATTTGATGGGCCAAGTCGGCCATGGAGTGCTGGTACCATCTGTGCGCACACCGAGATTACGGCCAAGACCGGCGAGAAAATGGGGTAAAGCGAAAAGAAAATAAAAAAATACAGTAGAAACTCTGTACAACGTAATGCAAAGAAGAAAAAAATTGTTTGTTATAGAAAGGTTTTGTTGTAGAGAGGTTCAATTTGGTCGAAAAACTAGTCTTTTTTGAAAAAATTTTACTTTTTTTCAACGAAGAATTTGCACAGTGCAAAACCATAAGCTTTTTTCGACTATAAAATTGCACTGTGCAAACCCATAGGCTTTTTTCAACTATGAAATTGCACTGTGCAAAAATGTAAGCCTTTTTTAAAAACAAAATTGCACTGTGCAAAGCCATAGGCTGATATAGAAGGTTTCCGATGTATAAAGGTTCATTTTGCTCCAAAAATGACTGAAGGTGACATCGTCTAGCGGCAAAATTTAACTTTTTTTCAAAAAAAATTATGCACTGTGCAAAACCATAGGCTTTTTTCAACTATAAAATTGCACTGTGCAAAACCATAAGCTTTTTTCAACTAGAAAATAGCACTGTGCAAAAAGACGCCGATATAAAGGGGTTTTGTTGCATAAAAGTTGATCTATTGCTCTAAAATCAACTCATAAGACCTCGAAAATTGTTCGTTATAAACAGTTTTTGTTTTATGCAAGTTTTTGTACAGAGTTTCTACCGTATAAAAAATGAACAACTCGACAAAAATCGACCACATTTACGAAAAATCTCAAAACAAAAATTTTTAAAAAGAACATAAAATCGCACTGAAGTGACGAACAACATATAAACGGATGAAATTTTAAAAATTTTTCCCGGATTTTTACTAATTTGGACGAAAAATTGAAAAAAATCTAAAATGTCTCAGTTTTTTTGAAGATTTGTCACGCAATAATATAAATTTTGTTCTCATTGAGAGGTAAAAAAGTAAAAAAGTATTTTTTTGGTAAAATACGTTACTAATAGGGTTAAACTTTTTAAAAAATTTTTTTTTTTTTTTTTTTTTTTTTTTTTTTATTTTTTTCACAACCACATTTTTCGTTAAAACTCAGCTCATATCAACTCAAATTCACGGCAAACTCACAGATCGGCGGATCCGGCTTTTCGCAAAATCGTATCCAACATCATTGAATGGCTGGCGCGGGCGATGGAATTTCGCCGCTTCCAAGTCGAGTCTTTCCGGAAACTCCGCAGCGTTTGCAGCGCTTTTTGGGCATCAGCACTGGCCCAAGTCCTGTTATGGAAGGTGTGAAAAAAAGGAGAAAAGGAGTGCAAGGTGAGGTGAGAAACCAAAAAAAAAGAGGGAAAGTGGGGGAAAATTGGGAAATTTTTGATTTTTTTATTAAAATTATTAAAAAAAATTTTGAAAATAAAAAAATTTTTTTATAATTAAAAAAATTTTAATTTAAAAAATTTTATTTTTGATTTTTTTTTAATAATTTAAAAAATTCAATCTTTCATTTTTTTTTGAGATTAAAATTTTTTTAAAAAAATCGTTCTGAAATTTAAAAAAATTGTATTTTAAAAATTTTAATTTAAAAAATTGATTTTTTTGATTTTTTTAATTAAAAACCTTTTTTAAATAAAAAAATTCAACCTTTCATTTTTTTGAAATTAATTTTTTTAAAAAAAATTTTGAAATTAAAAAATTTTTTTTTAAAAATTTCGAATTTAAAAAAAAAATTTATTTTCATTTCTCATAATTTTTTAAATTTTTTTCTCGAATAAAATAATACCACCAGGGAAATTTAAATTAAGATTTTCACACACGTTTATGGGTAAATTTAAATTAAAATTCACATTTATCGGGGTTTTCATTGATTTTTAAAAGGGGAAAATAATCAAAACTTTACCGAAATGCCCAAAAAAATAGAAAAAAAACTCACTTTCGTCGACGCAGCCGAGGCTCCTCTTTGTTTTCCTGAAAAAAACGCAATCAAAAAGGTAATTTTTCGAAAAATATGCTGCCAAATGTTTTTTTTTTGTAAAATACGCAAAAAAATTTAACTCTGTACTGAGCAAGATACGTCGTTTCAAATATACGAAATTGTTGTCAGTCGATTTTTTCGACAAAAATTTACCTTTTTTTCATCTATAAATTTGCACAGTGCGAAGCCATAGGCTTTTTTCAACTAAAAATTTGCACGGTGCAAAACTACAAAATGGAAAATAATAAATTTTTTGGAATTTGTTGACCTAAAAAATCTCGATTTCTTCCGCAAATAGCAATGTAAGAAATCTGGAGTATATCCTAGAAAATTGTGTTTTAGATTCCTGAAAATTCGAAGACCGCAGGGCATCTGCTCGAAAAAATTTTGCACAGTGCAAAACCGTAGGCTCTTTCCACCCAACATTTTGCACAGTGCAAAAACATAGGCTTTTTATAACTAAATTTTTACACAGTGCAAAATTGTAGGTTTTTTTTCATCTAGAATTTTGCACAGTGCAAAACATAGGCTTTTTTCACCTAGAAATTTGCACTGTGCAAAACCATAGGTTTTTTTCAATTAGAAAATTGCACTGTACAAAACCGTAAGCTTTTTTCAACTATTAAATTGCACAGTGCAAAATTGTAGGCTTTTTTCATCTAGAATTTTGCACTGTGCAAAACCATAGGCTTTTCTCAACTATTAAATTGCACTGTGCAAAACCGTATCCTTTTTTCAATTAGAATTTTGCACAATGCAAAACCATAGGCTTTTTTGAACTATGAAATTGCACTGTGCAAAACCTTAGGCTTTTTTCAATTAGAAAATTGCACAGTGCAAAATTATAGGCTTTTTTCATCTAGAATTTTGCACAGTGCAAAACCATAGGCTTTTTTCAATTAGAAAATTGCACTGTGCAAAACCGTAGGCTTTTTATAACTAAATCTTTGCACAGTGCAAAATTGTAGGCTTTTTTCATCTAGAATTTTGCACAGTGCAAAAAAAATTTTGTTGCGAAGTCCAAAAATTTTTCTCATCAAAAAAAATTGCACTCACCCCACTTGTCGACGCTTTATCATTGCTCTCCACCAGCACGACACTCTTTTTCTTCGCATCCGCATCATCTTTGGCGCCGGTGCGGCGATGATGCGTGAAGCCGCCGCTCTTCTCGTGCTTCGAGTTGGCGCTGCTGCCGGTGGAGGCGGTGGAATCGCCGCGCAGCGACTTGCGATGGGCCTCCACTCTTTCGCGCTCCCGCTCCTTCTCCTTCTCCTTCTCGGCCTGCTCGAGTTCGTGGAGAAGGCGACGGCCGCGGACGATTTTGGCGATCAGGAACATGATGGAGGGTGAAGATGAACAAAAATTAGTCGGTTATCAACTGGAAGCAAAATTTTTTTTATTGAATTTTTTGTAAAATACGTCGTAAAAAGTCGAAATTTCAATCGCGTTTTGCAGAAAAATAAAAAAAAAAGATTCGGAAAGCTTTTTCAGTTTGTCGGGAAAATAATTCCCTTTTCACTCAGCGACCCGATTTGGCGAATCGACATTGGGGTCATTATTTTCCCGACAGACTGACAACTGTTTGTCGGGAAAATAATGTGGAAATGTCGGAGAAAAATGTCTGGCCTCGTCGCAGTCGCACACCAAATCTCTCGTAGAGCAATGATATGCGATTTCAAGGCCCAAAGGATCCACATTATTTTCCCGACAGACTTTTCAAGTCTCTACTCATTTTCCACAGTCTATGAAAAAGCCACGGAATCTTACGGCAAATTTTTATGACGGAGAAACTTTTTTTTGATTGTCTTTCCTTAGGTTGGTAGAGACCTTGTACTATCTTACAAGTCACCTTATTTTTTTCAGCCTGTCTTGTGATATCTTGCCAGGCACCTTACTTTTTCAGTCTGGGGTGTGTAAAATATTTTTTTTGGATGAAAAGCTTGGTTTTTGACGAAAACTTGAGTTTTTTGGCATTCTGTTGCAAGTACAAATTTTGGTGGCAAATGCGATAATGACAAATGTTGATGCACTTTGACTGTTCCTTGAGGGAAACAAAGCGAAAAAATCAGATTTTCAAGTCTGTCGGGAAAATACTGAGCATTCTGTCGCAGCGAAAATCGCATCGCCGCAGAGAAAATAAGTTATATCGCGGAAAAATCAAATTGTTTTTCACTTCAGCGACACAATTGGCGAAGCGAGATTGTGCTCATTATTTTCCCGACAGACTTAAAATATCATATTTTTGTGGAAAATTTGAAAAAATTGCCCTTGAGACAGACAGTGCAACAAATAAGCGCATAAAATGAACTTTTATATCCTATTTTTTGCGGATACACCGCAGGGCTTGCAAATTCCACCCCCTCCCCTGCTCCAACGACTATGAACCACTCTCCAAAGACATGTTCCAAATTTGTAAAAGAGAAGTAACAAAACAGTGTTCAAGTCACGGAAAGGAAGAAGCCAGCCCGTATCGGCTTACAATGTTCCACGCATCCCTAATCGCACGACACTTTCCCGAGAAACCGTTTGAATATTCCATTCCGGCGCTTCTTTAAGGTACAAGAGAAAAGAAACAAATGGGACGTTGCACTAGTGATGTGGAAGTGTTGAGATGGGAAGAAGGCATCGCGAATTTTAAGTTCAAGTTCAGGTCAAAGTCTGAAGCCTTGAGTTCAAATTAAGGCCTAATGAAAGAATTGGATGAATTAACAGTTAAAATTTAAAATGAATTGCATTGCCAGTGATTCCAGAAAGTGCATAGACTTTTTGTTGTTAGCCAAATCATCAAAAATTACTGTATAACAGTACTACTTAAAAAATGCTACCGCTGACAAGTGAAGTCCGCCAAGTGCGACCCCTCAGATTTTGATGAAACTTGGCACAAATTTAGAATAATTTTTTCTATAAAATATGTTATTCTCCTAGCTCGCGCTTTACAGAAACAACCGAGATTTTTAGATCGAAAGTTGGCGAAAAGTTGACACTTTTTGCCGAATTTCAGCACAAAAAGTTTCATGCCTATTTCTACCATAGTGGGTAATGTTTCCACAAAAAATCATTTTTTTCCGCACGAAGCTGCCAAACTTATGGCCAAAAAGCGCAAAAAGAGAGAAAATGCACAGTGCAAAGGAAACTTGTGTTTTCGCACAGTGCAAACACCAAAACTTGCCGCTCGAATAATTTCGGCGACACGCACTGTGCGAAAACAAAAGTTCACTTCGCACTGTGCAATCACTTGTTTTTTGCACCGTGCAAAAGGCTTTTTTGGGCTGTCGCTCGCACCCTGAGTTTTTCCGCACAGTGCAGTTCTTTTTTTTGCACCGTGCATTCACCTTTTTTTTTGGTTTCGCACTGTGCATTTGAAATATCGCTGCGACGCGAGCTCCTGCGCCGCTGCGGTCTTGCTCAAAAATGTGCACAGTGCAATCGGCATTTTTGAGGCTTGCACTGTGCGAAAAGGCAAAAACGAAAATGCACTTTGGGTTGGCGAAAAGCGTGGGAAAAGCTTCAAAATCCCCTGCGAAAGGATTTGCACAGTGCAAACGGCTTTTTTGAGGTTCGCACTGTGCGAAAAAGGAAAAAAAATAAAAGTTCACTTTGTGTTGACGAAAAGCGTGGGAAAAAATTGGAAATGCAAGAAATTGAAGTCAAATAATCCGCGGTAGAGCAAAAATTTCATTTCGAAAATTTGAAAAAAGGCTTTTTGATTTCTGTAAAGCAAAATTTTAATCCTGAAAAGTTCGCACAGTGCAAAAATGTAGGCTTTTTTGAATTACAAAACTGCACTGTGCAAAATCATAGGCTTTTTTCAATTACAAAATCGCACTGTGCAAAATCATAGGCTTTTTTCAATTACAAAATTGCACTGTGCAAAACCATAGGCTTTTTTCAATTACAAAACTGCACTGTGCAAAATCATAGGCCTTTTTCAATTACAAAATTGCACTGTGCAAAAACGTAGGCTTTTTTCAATTACAAAACTGCACTGTGCAAAATCATAGGCTTTTTTCAATTACAAAATTGCACTGTGCAAAATCATAGGCTTTTTTCAATTACAAAATTGCACTGTGCAAAATCATAGGCTTTTTTCAATTACAAAACTGCACTGTGCAAAATCATAGGCCTTTTTCAATTACAAAACTGCACTGTGCAAAAACGTAGGCTTTTTTCAATTACAAAACTGCACTGTGCAAAACCATAGGCTTTTTTCAATTACAAAACTGCACTGTGCAAAATCATAGGCCTTTTTCAATTACAAAACTGCACTGTGCAAAAACGTAGGCTTTTTTCAATTACAAAATTGCACTGTGCGAAAACATAGGCTTTTTTCAACTACAAAATTGCACTGTGCAGAAAGTTTCAGCAAAATTTTCGAAACGCACCAAAAATCGCACACATTTCCCGGAGAAATTAATTAGCGATTTCGGAGAAGTTCCCCATTCCAAAGAACCGTGCACAAATCACAAGTTCGTCGCCCTAATCTCGCTGAGTAAGTGCTCTCAATTTTCTGGAAAGTTTGCTTTTTTCGTTTTATGTTTTTGTCGAAAAAAAGGAAATTCGATACGAAATGCGGCCCCAAACCGATTCCATTGGGTTCGAAAGCAAACTTTTTAGGGAAAAATTTGAATTAAAAAAAAATTTTGGAATTTTTAAAATTTGAAAAAAATTAAAAAAAAATGAAAAATTGTGAGAAAAGAACGATAAAAAATTTCAGAAAAAAAAACAAAAAATCTAAAAAAAAAAAAAAAAAAATCCTGTAAAAAATTGAAAAAATAAAAAAAATTTTTATTTTTTCACAATATTTTTTTGCCTCCAAACAAGTGCAAAATGACATCCGATCAACAACAAAGATTGCATGTAAAAACCAGCTTACCAGCTGTTTTTTCCGGCAGATTACAAGGGCAAAAAATAACGCGTGTTGACCACACTTCGAACATCGAAAATTTTAGCGCGCGCTCTACAAGAGCCCCAGGGCAAATACTACTAGTCGTTCCAGAAAGTGCGTGCACCTTTTTCCGCCTTTTTTTTGGACCGCACAGTGCAAGTTTCGCGTTCCCCGCGCGACGCGATCCTTTTCGAAACATTTTGCACTGTGCAATTTCTAAAAATTCGCGCCGGCTCCGTTGAGAAAAGCCTACGTCGCTGCGACATTGGATTTGCACGGTGCAAAAGGTCAAATGCACCCCGCAAAAAGGGAATTTTGTGCACAGTGCGGCCCACGACAAAAAGTGCACGCACTTTCTGGAACGCCTAGTAGTGCGTTCGTGAAGTCGGTGGAGTGAGTTCAGCGATACGCACTGTGCGGAAAAAGTCATGGTGCGAGCGACAGCCCAAAAAAGCTTATTGCACGGTGCAAAAATCAAGAAACTGCACAGTGCAAGGTGAGCTTTTGTTTTCGCACAGTGCATGTCGCTGGAGCGAGTTCAGCGATGTGCACTGTGCGGAAAAAGTCAGGGTGCAAGCGACAGCCCGAAAAAGCCTTTTGCACGGTGCAAAAATCAAGAAACTGCGCAGTGCAAAGGGAGATTTTGTTTTTGCACAGTGCATATCGCTGGAGTGACTTTTGACCTTTGCACTGTGCGGAAAAAATCAGGGTGCGAGCGACAGCCCAAAAAAAGCCTTTTGCACAGTGCGAAAATCAAGAAACTGCACAGTGCAAGCTGAGATTTAGGGTTCGCACAGTGCATGTCGCCGTTTTCAGTCCGGCAATGCGCACTGTGCGAAAACAAAAGTGCACCTTGCACTGTGCAATCTGTTGCACTTTTCGGGCGTCGCTCGCACCCTGGCCTTTTCAGCACAGTGCATGTCGCACAAATCATTCCAGCGACATGCACTGTGCGAAAACAAAAATTCGCCGTGCACTGTGCAATCTGCGGATGTTTGCACCGTGCAAACTGCTTTTTTTCAGGTGTCGCTCGCACCCTGAATTTTTCTGCACAGTGCATGTTGCAAAAAATATTCCAGCGACCTTGCGAACGGACCAGCATAATTTTTTTCATTGGTCCTTGCGTCAAAGCGCTAAATATTTCAGTAACTTGTTGAAGGCGAGATTTAGATTTCGTGCCGTCTTTGCATAGCAGAGTGGATTTGGTTGTAAACAGAACAGATTAATCAAAAATCTGGTAAACCGTGGGGGTTGGGATGGTTTTTTGTGGCGATTTCTAGGCAAAAAAAATGAAAAAATAATTTTTTTTTTAAATATGCAAATTTTTGGTCAAAATGAAAATTCGCAAAAAATATGCAAATATTGAGGAAGCAGTTAATTTTGAAAAATTATGCAAATTTTATGAAAAAGCAAAAGTTTTGTTTTCAACTAGAAGATTGCACGGTGCAAAAATGTAGGCTTTTTTCAATTAAAAAATTGCACAGTGCAAAATCGTAGGCTTTTTTCACTTACAAAATTGCACTGTGCAAGGTTATGGGCATTTTTCAACTAAAAAATTGCACTGTGTAAAAAGTATAGTTTCAATTGGACCTTTCTTCAATTATTTACATATTAATTTTTGCCAAAAAGGTATCAAAAAAATATCAAAAAACCCAACGAATTTCAAAACCCCAAAAAATCAAATTCTATTCCGACATTGGTCGAGTCCACAGTTTAGTGAATGGCGTGAAAAAGGGGAAACGCAAATCTTCATTTGCCCCATCCCCACACCTACATTCGGAAAACGCCAAATCACTCCAAATTAGTCAAAAGATTCGGCCGAAATAGCGGCCCGAAAAAGTTTTTCGGGAACTCAAAGTGACTTCCACAAGCGGAAGGCCTAAAACGGCGTTGTAAGGAAGTCATTAACGGCGCAGACTCATCCGTCAAAGAATTCGTCATAAAATGTCGCACAAGGGGAAAAATTTTTTGACAAAATAATTAAAAATTAATTTTATGAACAAAGATTGAAATTGTAGAACGATTCTTGGCCGGAAAATTTGGGTTAATTTCGACTAGAAACTTGCACAGTGCAAAATCATAGTCTTTTTTCAATTAGAAAATTGCACAGTGCAGCACCATAGGCTTTTTTTAACTTGAAAGTTGCACAGTGCAAAGTTATAGGCTTTTTGAAACTAAGAATTTGCACTGTGCAAAGACATAGGCTTTTTTCAATAAGCAAATTGCACTGTGCAAAGTTATAGGCTAAAGAGATCCTCGGCGGCCGTGGCCTCACTGGCTTTTTTCAACTATATTATTTAGAAAACCGCAATGTGCAAAATTGTTGGCTTTTTTCAATTAGAAAATTGCACAATGCCGGCTTTCTTAATAAGGAAATCGCACAATGTATATTTCTTTTCTACACTAGAAAATTGCACAGTCGCATAGTGCAAAGTCGAAGGCTTTTGCAACTGAGAATGTGCACAGTGCAAAGATATAGGCTTTTTTCAACAAGAAAATTGCACTGTTCAAAAGTGTTGGCTTATTTCAACAAGAATACTGCACAGTGCAAAGTCATAGGCTTTTTTCAATAAGGAAATTCACAGCACAACTTTATTTTCTAAATTAGGAAATTGCAAAGTCGCATAGTGCAAAGTCATAGGCTTTTTTCAATAAGGAAATTCACAGCACAACTTTATTTTCTAAATTAGGAAATTGCAAAGTCGCATAGTGCAAAGTCATAGGCTTTTTTCAATAAGGAAATTCACAGCACAACTTTATTTTCTAAATTAGGAAATTGCAAAGTCGCATAGTGCAAAGTCATAGGCTTTTTTCAACAAGAAAACTGCACAGTGCAATGTCATAGGCTTTTTCCAACTAGAAAATCGCACTGTGCAAAGTCATAGGCTTTTTTCAATAAGGAAATTGCACAGTGTTTTTTCTACACTTTTCTACACTAGGAAATTGCAAAGTCGCACAGTGCGAAGTCATAGGCTTTTTTCAGCCGAAAATGTGCACAGTGCAAAGTCATAGGCTTTTTTCAATAAGGAAATTGCACAGTGCAAAGTTATAGGCTTTTGCCAACCAGAAAATTGCACGGTGCAAGAGTGTTGACGTATTTCAATTAGAAAATTGCACCGTTCAAAGTCATTTTCCAACAAGCAAACGTTGTAAAGATTGATCTTATGGCCATAAAAGAGACCATCCCCATTTTTTAATGTCAATAAGCAAATAAAATTGCTTTTCTAATAAAATTTTCTCAAAAATTCGAAAAAATCCCGGAATTCCCAAGGAAAAAATAAAACTTTTCTCCTCCTCGTTCCACCTTCAGCTCGTTTCTCACAAACCCTGAAACTTGTCTTCATGGCGCGGTTACTTAGCATCAGTGACATTCGCCGCATCTCAAGACGGTAATAAATATTTTATCCGCTGTCGATTGTGTCCACTTTTTTCCCGTTTTGTGCTCTCGCTGGGAAAACACAAACTCTCGGGGGGAGAGGTTCTCAAAGCCATGTGCATGTTGCAAAGAACACGTTTTGGGCTGTCAACACACATATGAAAGGTTGAAATAGTTTTTAGTTTTTGAAAGTTAAAAAATTAAATTTTATGAATAGCATTGCTGAAAAAATGGTGTTTCTCATACGGTGTTGTTCATAAGAAAAAATGTTTGTTTGAAAATTTTTTGCTTGTTTGAAATTTTTCAACTTTTTCACAGAGAATCTTTTTTGTCTCCGATTACAGCGACGGACCTGATCTAGTAGTAAAAAACGTGCCATCTTGCATCCGGGAAGTATCAAAAAGTGTGGCAAAATGTCTCCCTCTCCAACTAAGAAAACTCATTTTTGAAGAGCGCGCCCTTTCCCTCACAAAAAGTGCGTGCGCACGTCAAACTGAGGAGTCCGGTGACCGGAATAGACTCTTCGCTATCGGTTCTTTACACTTCGTCTATTTCGCAGAGAAAGAGAGAAAAAAGACACGCAAAAACGTACTCTCTCGCCCCAAAAATTCCCCATTTCTCCGCCGACAAAACGTTTTTTCGCGTCTTTTTTGGCAAATTGCCAATCCATTCACCGGACTGTTTTAGCTTATCTCAGTTTGACGTGTGCGCCATTTTGAAATCAGGGTTTTTTTCTCTTGGATTTTGTAGGGGAAATTTCTTGCATTTTATAAGGGAAATGTTTGATGAGCAGTAGAATCTATCACCAATGCTCAGATTTAGTTTTTGCGTGTGTCGTACAATGAGGGACCTGATCCAGTGGCAAAAAACATACCATTTTGCATCCAGGTAGTATCAAAAAATGTAGCAAAATACCTCCATCTCCAACTAAAAAAGCTTCGTTTTGAAGGTCCCTCACAAAAACGGCGGGCGGGCTTTTGAAATCGAAGCTTTTGCACTTGGAGAGGAAGGTATTTTGCTGCATTTTTTGACACTTCCTGGATGCAAAGTGGAACGTGTTTTGACACTGGATCAGGACCCACTGTATACTAGTCTCCTTTTAGCCGTCGTCTATGCGACCATGTTAAGTACCGAAACTATCCAATGGTACGACACTACCTCCATCTTAAACAGCTACCGATCCCAGAATTGCCGTCGCAGTGCCTTGAACAAGTTGTGGGTTTGTCGGGCCTCTCAAATGATCCCAACATCTGGGTGTCCCCGGACTATCAAAAAGATATTTTGAAGAAAAAGAAAGAGAACAAGAATCAAAAATCAGCTAGCTCTGGTTGTGGTGGCGACTGTGTTCCGTTTCATCTAGGTATGTAAGCACATCTGTCCATTTTTTATGTAATGTTTAGGTCCGCCACTGTATTTGGAGACCCGATAGTGTAGATGAGGAACCGAGAACTCTTTCCTTTTTAGCACTTAACCTAAGGGTTGGGAAATTAAGGGTGACACAGAGTTGGGCGGTGCAGGTTCGGGTGAGAACTTCCGGGTGATCGCAAAGGCCTTTCCCTAAAAGATTCTCCGTGAAAAAGTTAAAAAAAGCCAAGAATTTTTAAACAAAAAACCTTTTTCCTTATAAGCAACACTCTATGAGAAACACCACTTTTTCAGCAACGGTGTAAAGCCTAACAATAAGCGATATCCTCGTTTATCTTTCAAATACCAGGAATACATGATGACCAGAACACAGTAGATCACAATGTTTTCTAGCGAGTAGCCGATCGCTCGCTTGGGCTGCGACTTCCAAGCTGATCTTCTTTGCCTTCCAAATCCACGGCTCGCTTGATTGCCACGGAGTGTGATTGTTCCTTTTCGTGGCGGGACGCGGCCTTTCCGTTGCGGTGGCGTGGCGAAACTTCACAATTCAGAATTATTTTTTTTTAGGAATGTAGACAATTTTTACATCGAATGTCATCAAAAATGTTATCCTTTTTCAAGTTTTGGCACAAAAATTTTCGCACATATTTCTATCGTAGATGGTAATATCTTCACAATAAATTAATTTTTTCCATTCAACAAATCTATATCCAAAAATCCTTAAATTTAGGACCCGTATTTTACTTGGAATACAAAAAGATCCAATAAATTAGCCATCCCTTTATCAACACGTCTCTTTTCCGTCCAAAAACTTGATCCCAATCACATTCATCGGGTCAAAAGACACCTGGAAGAGAGCGGAAAAAAAGCCGAAACAGCGATCGAAAAAGTGATTGTTATCGTTTCCGAAATCTCTCGCCGCCCTGATCCCCCATTCGATGGCTTATAAACAAGGCCAATGTGAACATCAACAGCAGTCCGCGGATCCCAATAAATTATGTTCGAGCGCCTGAAGAAGACGGTAAGGACAAGTGCGGGGGTGCTCATGGTTTCAGAAGAAAACACGCAAGGTCTCGAGCACAACCTCGCCGAATGCGACCGGAATTGGAGCCGTGCGCAAGAAGAAGTCGGTGCAGAAGGATGACAGGAACATGGGTGAGTTGATTTGGCTTCGGAGTTGGGGGTTTTTGGAGGGGATATTGCTTGAATTTTATAATAAGGGAAGTGTTTGAAATGCAGTAGGATCCACCACCAATGCTCAGATTTTCTTTAGATTTTTCACCCACCTCGGGCAAGGGTCATACAGTGAGGGACCTGGTCCAGTGGCAAAAAACCTACCGTTTTCATCCAGGAAGTATCAAAAAATGTGGCAAAATACCTCCTTCTTCAAGTGAAAAAACTCCAATTTCATAAGCTCTTTCTTGAGGGAAAGATTGCGCTTTTCAAAACGAAATTTTTCACATGGAGAGGGAAGCATTTTGCTTCATTTTTGACACTTCCCAGACGCAAAATGGTACGTTTTTTGACGCTGGATCAGGTCCGTCATTGTATACTGTGCACACACTTCATGAAGAGTCTGCACATTGATTGCTTTATCGCGTACCGTCTTTTCGGGTCATAAACAGTTCGGGTCAACACAAAACCGATTGATATGGGGCGTAGGGCAGGTGGACGCCCCCAAAAAAGGTTGTAGGAAGTGCCTACGAGGCCTGGAAAAGCCACTGGATGGTCGGCGAAGGCTCGGCGAAGGCTTGGCGGAGAGTTGGCAGAGTTGAAAAATGTCCACTCTTTCTAATTTTAGCTTTTGCCAAGGTTAGTTTACTTTTTCTTTTTAAAAGCGCTACGTGGATAAAGTGCAATGGAAATGAATGTTATGCACTTTCTAGCACATAACAGAGTACATAATTAAATGAAAAATGGGGGTAGGTTAGTTCACAATCCCAGACAGATTGGCCAAAAAATTGTCAGGGTTTTTACACTTTCAGAAGTAGGTATACTTCTTATAATTCCCCAATTTTACATTTTCTTTTCTTCATTTCCCCCACTGATCCTTCGTATGCATTTGACGTTGATCTTTGTCGTTTGTCTGCCCCGCTGTTACACAATATGTCACTCATTGATCTTCCTCTTGGTTTGTTCGACGCCTAAAGAAATATCACGACTGCCAGACATGGGATTTAGATGGATTGGGGTTGTTTTCTCTCGGAATTTTCTACGTCATCTTCATCTTTTTTGATGACTAAAAGAACTTGGTGACTTGAGGTATTTTGAGGGTGACATGGCGTGTCGGCCGGCCTGGGACAACAAATTTTGCAGTTCGGCCATGGGCTTCTATTTCCGGGCCCGGGACAGTCGGGTTTTACAGAAAATGCGGATTTTCCAAGAATTCTCAAGATATTGGCGGAATTTGAGAAAAAAATCACCCAAAAATATTGCAGGAGAACATCAGAAAGGCAAAAAAATTCTGGCCTCCTTCAGAAAAAGCAAAATAGAATGGACAGAGCTTCTTGGCATCCAAAAAAGCCGGCTAAAACGTTTTTTAACAAAATGAAAAAAAAAATTGAAAAGAGAGAAATGCACTGTGCAATATCAAAAAGCGCGGAAAAGGTTCAAAATCTCTCTGTGGGAAGAGAGAAAGTGTCCATGCACCCCCGAAGGTACTAACGATTGTGCACTGTGACCCCGCACAGTGCAAAAAAAATTTTTTGAAAAGGGCAATCCAAAGCACAGTGCGCTGTTTTATCGCAGCCCGCCAAATTTTTATCGCGCAACACCTCGTCGCAACGCCCATTGAATGCGCCCACACAATGTTGGGTGATTTCCAAAATTTTTTGAAATTGAAAAAATAAGGTGTGACATGTTATACGATGAAAAGGTTTTTTTCAAATTGAGAAAAGTCAAGTGTAACAAAGTGAAAATTTTTTATCGTTTAACATGTCACAGAGAAAAGTAAAGTGTAACAAAGTGAAATTTTTTTTATCGGATAACATGTCACACCTTATTTTTTCAATTTTCAAAATAAGGTGGAATCATGAATTCGGCGTTGCGACAAGGTGTCGCGCGATAAAAATTTGGCGGGGTGCGAATGAAGAACGCACCGTGCGTTGTTTACCCTTTTTCAAAACAACCTTTTTGCACTGTGCGGTGTCGCATTGCACCGTAAATTTTACTTGTCGCCGCGCGACAAATTTCATGCACGACGGCGCACTGTGCAGACATGTCAAGACTTTTTGGCCCGCCTAGTACACCATTTTACATGCTTGCACAGTGCAAACATATCAATAACTTTTGGCCCACGAATCAGTCTGTCGGGAAAGTAATGAGCGTAATGACACTTCTCTTTTACCTTTTTTACTACATTTTTGCATTTTATTCATTATACAGAGGTTTTCTCCTCGTTATAAACTTTTCCATACTACTCCAACTATCTCCCTCCTTTCTTTTTTTCCACCCTCTCTCTCTTTGTTTACACGCACTGGATTACGTCATATCGGATTTAATCCCATAAAATGATTCGCTCAACAAGAAGGGGGAATCTTTTTTTTTCCTTTTTTTATTACGTATGACCTCACGGAGCAAGATCTTTTTGATGTGGAAAAGAGAGAGAGAGTGGGGCTTTTATTCGATTTTAATTTTTTTTTCTGTTTGTTTCAAAGATTTCGCGGCCATTTCGAACTCTTTGTTTATGCACACGGTTCGGTTCAACGGGCGGGAAATCACGTTTCGCAACGTGAATGACGTTCCTAGGCATGTAAACGGCGATATTTATATATTTTTTGGGGATTTTGAATGGTTGAGAGCTCTTGGGCAATTTCAAAAAAATTTTTTTTTTTATTTTTTTTTTATTTGCAATTTTAAATATTGAAAATTTAGTTTGTCGGGAAAATAATGTGGATTTTTTTCTAACTTAGAACTGTTTATCATCACTTTGCGAGGGCTGAATATTTGGTGCGCGACAAATTTTCAAAAAAAAAATCCACATTATTTTCCCGACAGACTGATAGTAGATGGTTTCATAAAGTGTGTAGACTTTTTTCGGCCTCTGTTTTGCATCACATAGTGCATATTGCGCTACATAATCTTTTTTGAAGCGCTTTGCACTGTGCAATTTCTTTTCGCATGCCCAGAATTCGAAAAAAATGATGAATATCTCGGCTGCCGCTGAAAAGTGGAAGTTAAGATTTTCAGGAATTAATACGTAGACTATGTACAATGTATGAGCAAAATTTTTTAAAGATCGAAGAAATTTTTTTTTTTTTTTTTTTTTGAATTTTACCCTTTTTAGCTCCAAAAATCGTCATTTATTAGATAAAAATAATCAAACAAAAAAAAATACTATTACACTTTGCAAAATTACTAAAAGTACACAACATTTTTTTTACAAAAAACTAATTTTTTCTCATTTTTATTACCAATTTTCATGGCTAAAACCCGCAAAAGGATTCTTCACGCCCTCTCCCCCATTTACTTGGCATTTTTGGATAAATCGAAATGAAAAAAATGAATTAATCGGATTGCGGGTTTTTATTCTGATTACTTTTTTCATAAGGCAGCGGATTTTGGAGGACAAAAAGAGGTTTATTTCGCTTCTTTCGCTACATTAGAGAGTGTAGAAGGGCGTAAAGAGGTCTGAAAGAGGGTTGGTTGGAAATTTTAGATAATTTTTTGACTTTTTTTTGATTTTTGCTGGCACTTTTTGTTTTTTTTGACCAAAGATGGCTTAAAAATGATTGGTTTGCGTGAAAATTAGCAAATTTAGAGTATACCAGTCCTTCCGGAAAGCCGCCGGACTGAAATCAACGACACGCAAGATGCGCTGTGCGCCGCTAAAAAAGGTCTACGCACTTTTCTTTCTGAAAAGTGCGGAGACATTTTGTAGTCCGTCCACAATGTCGCTGGAATGAAATCGGCGACACGCACTGTGCGAAAAAAGGCCGGAAAAAGTCTACGGACTTTCTGGAACGACTAGTATTACGTTTTTTTTTCAAAAATGCAGAGACATCTTCCGCGCTTTTTCGCACCGCACCATTCATGTTCCACGACGAAATCCATCTCAAAACATTTTGCACTGTGCTGTTTCTAAAAATTCGCGCCGGCTCCGTTGAGAAAAGCCACGAAGGAAGGTCCGCTGCGGAAAAGGTCCGCTAAAAAAAAGAAAAGACGATGGCGGAGAGGGGGGAGGTTTTCGATGGCGCTGATTTCGAATATCATATCCATTTTTTCTGAATTTTACAATTTTGCTTAAGCAGTAGTGTTAATTTAATGGATTTAGGGGTTTTCGGTGGTGCTGATTTCGAAAATTGTATCCATTTCTTCTGAATTTTTGCCTCTCTTCCTCAATTCTTTAAAATAAATGTTTTAATTGGTAAAAACTTGGTCAAACTTGTATGATATTGAAAGAAAACTTATGACGCTTTTTTCGTCTTTACAGCGAAAATGACACTGTAAAATTCAGAAAAAATTGATATGATTTTCGAAATCAGCGCCATCGAAAACCTCCCCCACCCCTCCCCCGCCCTCCTTTTTTATTTGTTTTTAGCGGACCTTTCCGCAGCGGACCTTTCCGTGCTCAATCTAGAAAAGCTTGTGTCGCAGCGATAATGGACCTTCACGGTGCAAAAGCTCAACTGCACCCCGCAAGAAAGGAATTTCGTGCGCAGTGCGGCCTGCGACAAAAATTCTACGCAAATTCGGAGGAGTGATTTATGCGGCACGCACTGTAAAAAAAGTTTTATTTGCCATGTGAAATTTGTTCCTTTTTGCACCGTGCAATTGGCTTTTTTTGGTTGTCGCTCGCACCCTGACTTTCTCTCGCACAACGCCAAAAATCATCCTAGCAACTTTACGAGCGGACTAGTATCGGTACCAGCTTTGCTGCTATTGAGAATTTTAAGTTCTCCGTATCATTATTTCATTAAAGTTTTTGCTTTGGATTTCCCAAAATAGGCCTGATATTACCATAAATCATCATGAAAAAAAAAAACAATTTTTTATCAATAATTTTTCGTCTCACTTACCAAATTTAGAAATTTAGGTATTTCCATATGTAAATCCTTGTTTTTCGCGGATTATAAGCTGTAAAAAGCACTTTACTTCGGCTTATGAATCCCGTCACACCTAACTGATCTCCATTTTGTCGGTTAAAAATAAACCGATTATCTCGCATGCCCAAAATGGCCTCTATTTTTAACTGTCCTAAAAGATTTTTTTCGGTCTGAAAAATTTATTTTTCAGTGATTTTTTTTATTTTTTTCATTATAGTTCGTCTACAAAAAGCGGAAATTAAATCAATTTTTTTTGCTTTTTTCCCCTTCTTCATCATTTTTCGCATGACTAAAAAATTCAATTTCCCTTGGAATAATTAAATTTGGGGCCTTGTTAACTGCATGACATTATCGCAAAAAAATAAAAAAATTTTATTTTTGAAAAAATAAAATTTTTTTTTTTGAAAAAATAAAAAAAGTTGTGTCCTTTAAATTTTGATAAAATTTGTGGCATATTTAGATTACACTTTTCTAAGATATACGATATCAATTTCACACGAGATTTTTAATACTATAATCATCAAATTTTTTATGATAAAAATGGGAAATATCCAATTTTTTTAATTTGTAGACGTAAAAAATCGTGATGTCTTCTGCAAATAGCAAGGTAAGAGTCTCGAAAAAGTTGTAGAAAATTGTGTGTTAGATTCATTAAAATTGGAGGACCGCAGGGCATCTTTTCGAAAAAATTTTGCACAGTGCAAAACCGTAGGCTTTTTTCAACTAGAAAACTGCACTGTGCAAAAATTTATGCTTTTTTCAATTAGAAAACTGCACTGTGCAAAAACACAGGCTTTTTTCAATTATAAAATTGCACTGTGCAAAATTATAGGCTTTTTTCAACGATAAAATTGCACTGTGCGAAAAAGATCTTTTGTCCTAAAAAACTTTCTTGGCCAAAAAAAATTTAGACAATATTTTGACCCCTTGGGTTAATTCAACTAGAAACTTGCACAGTGCAAAAATGTAGGCTTTTTTCAATTAGAAACTTGCACAGTGCGAAATCGTAGGCTTTTTTCAACTAGAAAACTGCACTGTGCAAAAATTTATGCTTTTTTCAATTAGAAAGCCGCACTGTGCAAAAACACAGGCTTTTTTCAATTAGAAAACTGCACTGTGCAAAAACGTAAGCTTTTTTCAACTAAAAAATTGCACTGTGCGAAAAACATCTTTCATCCCAAAAAACTTTTTTGGCCAAAAATTTTTTAGACAATATTTTGACCCTGTCATCACTAGAATATTCCATTATCACTTCAGCATAACCGCATCCATCAATTTTGACACGTTTTGTTGCGCATCGCCTCCCAAAATTTCGTTCGTCAGAAACGTCAGTCCGAGTTTCCACTCGTCTGGCCTCGAAAGGAGTTTGGTGCCAGCGAGAGAGCACTAAAAATGAAGAGAGACGCCCCACAAAGAGAGCGCTTACTTTTTGGGCGGCCGAAAAAAAGGAGTATTAAAATGGGAAAAAGAAGGGGAATTGGGTTCGCTTTCGGCCCTCCTCGTGCCGAGTAATTGAAATTTGAGATAAGATAAGGGCATTTTGAACGGGAATATAGGTTACTTTCGGAATAGTATAGGGTTTCGGCGGGGATCTTCGATCGCTTCGGTCGGTTTTGAGATGTTTTTTAGTTTTTTTTTGGGATTTGAGGGGTAAAAAGAGAATCCCGGTGAAAAGGAGGCTCTATAGTTCCTCTCTTTTGACTAGAAGAACCTTTTTTTTTTGTCTAGTGTTATGTTAAAATATCTTGTTTTTGCACAGTGCAGTTTTCTAGTTGAAAAAAGCCTACGTTTTTGCACTGTGCAGTTTCCTTGTTGAAAAAAGCCTATGTTTTTGCACTGTGCGGGGTTTTAAACAAAACGGGACAAGATTTCTATCAGAAAGGCGGCTAGAAATCTTAAATTGACCATAAAATTCAGTTTCCGAGTTTTTGAAAAAAAATTTTTTGCACTGTGCAGTTTTCTAATTGAAAAAAGCCTACGTTTTTGCACTGTGCAGTTTTCTAGTTGAAAAAAGCCTACATTTTTGCACTGTGCGAACTTTTTAAAAGCATGTAAACTGCCCTGTCACAAAGATGATTTACCCGAAATATATGATTTTTTAACGGACATCTCAGTATGTCAAAAACACCCTGACTTTTTCAATTTGAAAAAAAAATCAAAATTTCCGAATTTTCAAAATTTTTCGACCCAAAAAATTTCGGTGATTTTGGCCAATAGCAAATTAGAAGCCTTCCATCTGCCTCAGAAAAGTCAGTTCTAAATTTTCACCAAGTTATATTAAGATTTGCGGGTTTAATTTCGACCATTCCACATTTTCAGTCTGTAAAATCTCATCGTTGCCGACGACTCAAAAAACAATCAAAAAGCATTGTCAGTAAAAGTTCATTTGACATTCGACCTCCTCTTTCAAAATCCACCTGCTTCGGCGTTGAAAACGATCAATTATTTTTGAAATTTTGGCATGACCTTTTACCCCATTCCCACCTGTTTTTTCCCCACGTAAACCGTCATAAATACGTACTTGTCGTTGAAAAACGTAGTCGAAGTGCAGACTGTTGTTGGCCCTGTTATTCGTCTCGACATATTATGTGGTTTTCCAGGTGGAAAATTGTCTTCATAAAAAATTATGGGCGTTATATTAGACTAGACACCTAGTGACGGGGCAATTGTAATATGTCGGTGTTTTCGAGGGGAACAAAAGCTTTTATGTCGCGGGTTGGACTCTCATAGCAAATTTAACCCTACATTCGTTAATTTTAGATATTTTTTTTCGTCTGGTAGCTTCAAATTACCTACATATTATACCAGGCAAACCGGTTGTAGGTAAAGTACAATATATTGATATTTTTGGTGAGGCTGTGTATAACCATTGCACAATATGTATTCGCTATGACATATAGATGTTTCGTATGTAATTTGTATTGTACATGGCATCTTATGGATGGGGAATGTAACTTTTTGATATTTCTTGTATCTACTACAAATTCTAAGTGGGGTATTGTTCTATATCAGATACGTAGCTGTTCGCTGTATTGTTTTTTGAGCATCATATTAAATTCTAGGTTCGAATTCAGCTTTATATTGGCCTTGATATTGGACCTGTCACCTACTGAGGTGGCAAGTGTAATATGTTAATATTAACGGTTTGATATAGGTTAATATGTCGCATAAAAGAGTTTATAGTGCTCTGAGAGCATTTAGGACCATTAACCGATTTGATATCATCCTTTTTTTTGGTCGTTACGACCGTTATATTGCACTAGACATCAATTAGTATGGCAACTATAATATCTAGGTCTTTGTGAACTTACAAACACCAACCGGGCGGGCTTCCAACTCCATATGGCCTCTAGATTCGCTGTGCAGAACACTCACTTATAATTGAAGGGATTAGAAGCCATAGCGACGCAATTAATCCACATTCACCATGGTGAGGATAGTACGATCTTTGCCGCTGTCTTTGCAAACAAAATTCGTCACTAATTATGCGGAAGGGATCATAACAGTCTAATCCTTCATTTCCATGCCGTACAATGTCTACGGCGGAAGAGAGCTAAGCCTCAGTGACCTTGTTTTAGAGATTTGGCTCTTGACTTTGGAGAAATTCGATTATTTTTTGGTAAAAGGTTGGGAATAATGAGTGGAAATTGTGTTAGATGACATTCATGTCATCTTTGGGACTGTGTTTTATAATTTTTTTTTAAATTTATGAACAGTGCGGTTATTTTGACAATTTTTTTATCGCACTGTGCAAAATCGTAGGCTTTTTTCAATTAGAAAAGTGCACTGTGCAAAATTGTAGGCTTTTTTCAACTAGCAAACTGCACTGTGCAAAATCGCAGGCTTTTTTCAATTAGAAAACTGCACTGTGCGAAAAAAATTTTTGAAAAATAAAAAAATTGAAAATAAAAAGTTGTAAAATACGTCGAGTAAACACTGTACTTTTTTTCAAGGTATACGTAATACATTTTTAAGGTCCGAAAACCCGAGTAATTTCATAAAACCCCCAATTTTTGCCCTTATCTCTCTCGAAGGCCTTTATTTTTCCGTTTCCATGGAAAACAAATATTTGAGACTTCATTTCGCCCTCTTCCATTCAAAATTAAGCTTTATTTTGCTTGCCCACCTACCTTTTACATGACGCTCAGATTTTGACGAAACTTGGCACAGATTTACAGTAATTTCTTGTAAGAAATATACGAGACTTTTAGCTCGCGTTTTGCAGAAACGACCGAGATTTTAAGGTCCAAAGTTGGCGAAAATTTGAAATTTTTTTTTGCAAATTTTTGGATTAAAAGTTTTGTAGCTATTTCTACTGTAGAGAGTAATATTTCCACAAAAAATCAATTTTTCCCGCGAGAAACTGGCAAAGATACGGCCAAAAAGTGGTCTTTTCTCTGACCGCTCTCCGCATTTCGCGTGCTCTCTCGGCGGCAAAGACCGTTCAATATCTCGGCTCTCACTGCAAATTGTGAGCTAAAATTCTTACCAATTTATATGTGGACCAAATCCTATGTGTACGCAAAATTTTAAGAAAATCTGCCGCATCCAAAAATTTTCCCAGGTGACCTAAAATTTTCAAATTTCGAAATTTTTTCAACGAATTCACCGCTAATTAGAGCATTCAGAGAAAATGTTTTCTGATATTTGAGCTCGTGATGACGTAAAAATGCCACGTAAATTCGTGCGGATCATCCGACGGAAGCTGAGCAATTCACTCGGTGATATTGCACTTGATTCATTTGAGGGGTTGCACTTTTATTGCTTGAGGCATTAAAATTGAAAAGCATGCTTGTTGAATATTCAAGCTGTTTACTGAACCGTCTGGTCGGAGTTTTTTTTATTTAAAAAAATTTTTTTTTTATTTGAAAAAATTCCAAATTTTTTTTCGCACAGTGCAAAATTGTAAGCTTTTTTCAATTATGAAATTGCACTGTGCGAAAACGTAGGCTTTTTTGAACTATGAAATTGCACAGTGCAAAATTATAGGCTTTTTTCAACTAGAAAACTGCACAGTGCGAAAACGTAGGCTTTTTTCAACTATGAAATTGCACTGTGCAAAAAAAAATTTTTTTTGAAAAAATAAAAAATTTGATTTTTTTTTTGTATTTTGATTTTTGATCTATCACAGAGAATTTCTATTGATTCCGAGATATAAAAATGATGTTTCTTTATTTCTGCCATTTTCCGAACTCATTCATCACGGCTCTTCTCGGTTTTATGAATTCATAAAAAATTCTTGTTGTTTGTGCGTCAAAAATGCCCTCAAGGGAGTTTAGTTACAGTGAAAGATTATAAAAAGAAAAAATAACATGTCTAGTTTTGGGAAAACATCAAAAAAGCGGGGTGAAAAATCAATTTTTTAATGGAAAAAATTGATTTTTTTTGGATCGACTAATAAAATTTGTTTATTAAATTTAGATTTTTGGGGGGAAATATAATATTTAAAAAAAGTTTTTTAAGAATTTTAACAATTTTTTAAAAAAAATCAAAAAATTTTTTTTTTCGATTTTTTCGGAAAAATTCAATCTAAAATTTTCTAAAAATTCCATTTTTCCATAAAAAATCGATCTAGAATTTTCTAAAATCCCATTTTCTCAAAAAAAAAAAATCAAAAAAAATTTTTTTTATACTACTACTATTCAGCCATTTCTCACTGTTTTCCCAGTTGGAAATTCCCACTGTCACTTTGGTGGCTCGTCAAAATTCAAAAGAAATCGTTTCATAAACAAAAAATCTCAAAAAATTTTTTAGTCAGCTCGCAGCATGAGGTCCGCCGCCCTTTTCTTTGATCCATTTTTAACCCGGATTTGACATTTGACAAGCAAATTTGAACCCTCCAATCAATCAGTTATCGTCTCCCGTCTTTTTAGGGCGTTGTTTTCGGAGGGAATTTAGAAATTTGAGATTTTTTAGTGGAAAAATCAGAAACTTGTCGAAAAATAAAAAAATTTTTTTTTCAGATTTTTGATAAAATTTCTGTGTCAGCATGATGAATAGAGCATTTCAACAAACAAATCAGTTTTTTCCCATCAAAATTCAAAAAGATATGGCAAGTTTTGTTGCTTTAGCCTCCTACTGCAACTAACCTTTTTTGCTCATATTTTAGTGAATTTTGATCGGAAAAAAATGATTTTTTTGTTGAATTGTTCTACCATTCACTCTGAATGAACTCTGAAGTTTTCGGGGCTAAAATCCGAAAGAAATTTTTTGACATTTTTTGGTCGAAATTCAAAAAATTTTTTTTTACTTTACAAAAATAAGCCGCCGAAAAATTTGAAAAAAAAAAATTTTTTTTAATTTCGTAACAAATCATTTTCAGGAACTTCTGTGAAATTGAATAAGCGTCATTGCTGATTAATCATCAATTTTTTCGAATGAAAAACAAAAAAAAATTAAAGTTGAAGAATAATCAGCTCTCTATTATAATGTATTCGCTTCTTTGGGAAACGTGTTTTGCCTTTTTTTTATCTTTTTTACTCATTTTTCCATTCACTAATGATCACTCCCCCTTTTCTCGCTCTTTTCCCTTGCAAAAGAGCGCGCCCGAAACCCGGTGCATTTTGGTCGAGTGGATAGCGCGCTCGTCTCGCGTTCGAAAGGTCGCGAGTTCGAGTCCGCGCTGAAGAGGCTGGGACGAAACATTTGTTGATAGGAAGAGTATGAACGTATACTTGATTATAAACAGACACAACTGAGCCTTTTTGCACTTTTTTTGCGAAATTGTAAATTTTTCGGATAGAGAGTAATTTTAGTTTGATTAAAAATTCCTCTCAAAAAACTTCATGCCCTCAAATTTTAATTCCATATTTCGAAAAAACTTTTTTCATATATACGTTTTGACAAATTTATTTTTTACATTGTAAAGCGAATTACTATTTTTATCAACTTCCGTTTTTAACACATTTCTTGTTTTTTTCGCTTTACAGCCCTGTTTTTCGTTTAAAAAAAATATTTTGGGATCGGGATTAGGGCCAAAAATACATATTGGGGATCTCGAATTTTGTTTACACTTTGGGAATTAGTTGCCACGGGAGAATTTTGATTAGAATTTGTGGGGTTTCCACTATAAAAGGGCTAAATTTTCGAGTTTTAAAAAAAAATTAGGCCGAAATTATAGGGTCTCGCTGTTATTTAGAGGTCTGTTTAGTTGTAAAATTACTTTTTTCTGGGTTTAAATTGAGATTTTTCAAAAAAAAAAAAAATTTTTTTGGTTGAAAAATTACAGTAAGATTCTGATGTAAATTTTATTTTTCAACAATTTTATTAGCTCTATCCCTCTCCAAAACGTCTGTTTCTCCGCGAAAGATTCGAATTTCCAAGCCACCCGCGGCGCCCTTTATTGCGCAACCGAATTCCGGACTGGCGGAATGGAAAGGAATTTCGGGGCGCCGCGGGCGGTCCGAAAATTGCGAAATGTGTCGGTGAGTGCTAATGAAACCACTGTGGGAATACTCTATTTTTTCAATGTGCTTTTTAGGGCATTCTGGAGGTCAATTAGGTAAATTATAGAGCTTTAGTCATCACAATTTTAGAAATGTCATCTTTCGAAATTTTTTTTTTTTTTTGAAGGATGAGATTTATTTGAGGGCTAATTTTTGGCATTCGTAATGTCTTATGGCACTGTAGATTAAAAATACAGCGCACAGTGCGAAACCATAGGCTTTTTTCAACTACAAAATTGCACAGTGCAAAATCATAGGCTTTTTTCAACTATGAAAATGCACAGTGCAAAATCGTAGGCTTTTTTTAACTATCAAATTGCACAGTGCAAAATCATAGGCTTTTTTCAACTACGGAATTGCACTGTGCAAAAATAATTCCCCAAACTTCCAATTTTGTTTCAAATTTTGCGTACAAACTCTATCTAGACCACATAAAACCTCTAAAAATTTTACCTTATACTTTTCATCCGAGAAATTTCACAATAACTTGCCGAAAACGCTAAATTCTTCTCGCCTACAATCTATTTTCGGTCTATTTGCGATGTGAGAAGACAGATTACATTTTAAGGGCTTATCAGATCCTTTGCCCAATCTTTTTCGGCCTCTCATTTTCTGACGTTTCCGTTTTTCGGGATTTCCGGTCGGCCCTTTTCGCGAGAACGATCTTCGGACGTGGAATCTCTCATGTATAACATTCTGCATGTTGTGACATTGTCCCATTTTTGAGACGGTTTTTGGGGGAAACGGAAGGGGGGTGAGACGGTCAAATTTTTTTCGGTCAATATTTTGAACCATAAAAAATTTTTATTTTTTTTTGCACAGTGCAAAATCGTAAGCTCTTTTCAACTATAAAATTGCACAGTGCAAAATCGTAGGCTTTTTTCAACTAGAAAACTGCACTGTGCAAAATCGTAGGCTTTTTTCAACTAAAAATTTGCACTGTGCAAAAACGTAGGCTTTTTTCAACAACGAAACTGCACAGTGCAAAAAAAAACAACATTTTTTCTCCTCCCACTTTACTTTTTCACTTCCCAAAATGAATTCCCATAACTTCTGAAATTCAATTTTCTCTGGAACTTCTCGTCCGAGGTTTTGGAATTCCAAATTAGGCCCGAACGTTTAAAACGGACTTTTTGGAGGTTTTTGGCCCGAAAGAGGGCCAAAAAATTGAATTTCTTCGAAAGAAAGACACTTCTTTGAGGGCTTATTTTTGGCATTCGTAATCTCGGAGCGCCCGTCCGAGGTGGGGTAAAAATAGCGCACCGTGCGAAACCGTAGGCTTTTTTTTTACACTATAAAATTGCACAGTGCAAAACCGTAGGCTTTTTACAACTAAGAAATTGCACTGTGCAAAACCATAGGCTTTTTTACACTATAAAATTGCACTGTGCAAAACCATAGGCTTTTTTCAACTAAGAAATTGCACTGTGCAAAAATTTAAAAAAAAATTTGCTTAAAAACAGCCCTAGAATTGTAGACCAGCCTCCATTATTACTTTTGCAAGCCATACATGGTAATTTCGCGGCAAAAAACAATTACTTTCATGTTTTACGGGCTAAAACCTGTACTTGCTTGATGTTTGACGCCCAAAACCGCGGAAAAACAATGATTATTTGGGACGAAAAAATGGCCACGCATTCCGGGCACTCTAAGACGTAAACAGTCGTAATCCGACAACCGATATCCGGGTGTTTTTCGGCTTTTGTGCCAAGTTTTTGATCTTTGGTTAAAAATTTTTGCTTCTACGGGATTTTTTCGAAATTTCGACGGTAAAATGGGGTTTTTATGGAAAAATTACTGTTTGAAATTTATCGTAGCACTTTTTAGATTTCATGTCAATAAAAAAGAGAGCTTATTTTGCTAAAATTTGGGGTTTTCTAACCATTTTTGATCAAAAATCGATATAATTTGTTACTTTTCGGCCAAAATCAAGTCTATCATGATAAAATATGACTCTAAGTTACGTAAAATGCCTTCTAAATTATACCACGACGATAATTTCTCCTATATTTTTTTAAAATTTTCCCATTTGTCATCTTTTTGATACAATGGGGGACCTGATCCAGTGGCAAAAAACGTACCGTTTTGCATCCAGGAAGCATCAAAAGTGTGGCAAAATACCTCCCTCTTCAAGTGAAAAAACTCCGATTTCAAAAGCGCACCCGCTCTTTTTGTCAGGGAGCCTTTAAAAACAAAGTTTTTTCACTTGGAAAGGGAGGCATTTTGCCACATTTTTGATACTTCCCGGATGCAAAATGGTACTTTTTTTGCCACTGGATCAGGTCCCCCACTGTATAAAAAAGATGAAAAATGGGGAAAAATTGAAAAAAATATGAGGGAAATTAATGTCGTGGTATAATTTAGAAGGCATATTACGTAACGTAGAGTAATCTTTTATCGAGATAGACTTGTTTTTGGCCAAAAAGTAATTATATCGATTTTTGACCAAAAATGGTAAAAAAAATCCCAAATTTTGATAAAATTAAGCTCTTTTTTTATTGGTCTCCCCGCCGTAGCTGGAAACCCTCCTCAACGCCCTCAATATTTGTTTACATTCTAGGTAATGAGATGTTCTCTCATCCCTATTATATTTACAATCCAAAATCCGCCATTTCTCGGGGTCTCTTTCCACATTTGCATGTGATGTTCTACCATGCAATAATATAAATTCCGCTCGCCGAATGTGACTTCCCATTCAAACGAGTATTTCGAGTAGCGGCGGGTGCACTTCCTCACATGCTCCGGCTATTTTTGGCACTTCGGAATTGAGTTAGATAGCAAGAACGAAATAAATAGCTTTAGGGGTAAAAAATTGGACAAAGTTCGCAAAATGTTGCGTATTTCAAAGTTTTTTGATGCTTACAATAAGACAATTGTTTACGTTACGCTACATTCAATCTATTTTTATTATTTTATTTTCAAAAAATCGGTTTCCCGGGCTTGTTTTAGCAAAAAACATCTATTTTTATGTCAAAAAACCTACTTTTCCAAAAAACGCGTCATTATGACGCTTTTTTCGGAAAAATTTTTACCTAAAAAATCTTTATAGACCCTCTTGTTTAAATTTACCATAGAATATTGAAATAAAATTCCGTTTTTCAACAAGAAATCGGCTTATTTCCCCATAAGTCATCGAAATTTGAAACTTTTCCAAAAAATCGGTCATTCTGACACATTTTTTCGGAAAAATTTTTTTCTGAAAATTTTTATGGACCATCTGCTTTACATCTACCATACCAAACTGCAGTAAAATTTCGTTTTTCAACAAGAAATCGGCTTATTTTCCCCATAAGTCATCAAAATTCGAAACTTTTCCAAAAAACCGGTCATTATGACACATTTTTTCGGAAAATTTTTTTTCTAAAAATCTTTATGGACCATCTACTTTACATCTACCATACCAAACTGCAGTAAAATTTCGTTTTTCAACAAGAAATCGGCTTATTTTCCCCATAAGTCATCAAAAATTTGAAACTTTTCCAAAAAATCGGTCATGACTCCCTCAAAAAATATGTCACCCCTTATTACCACTCATCAGACTGCTCATTAGACCCCAAACTTTATATTATATTGTATGTTTCCCCTTCAACCGTCCCAATTCCAACGAAATAACGATAAATCACTGATTAGTAACCCGAAACTTGTTGTTTTCGCTGCACCAAGCATCAAATTAATTAAATTTGCCGCTTTCATTACTGCAGTCGGCCTCCGACCGCGCTGTAAAAACGCTCCCTACACCCCGACTTCTGGGGGTTTTGCAACGTGAAAACAAGCGAGAGAATTGGGGAAAGCAAAGGTTCTTGGGCTGAACTTCGGGTTCAACTTGCAATTTGCGGAAGTTTCTCGAGTTTGGGGCGCGTTGTAACAGATGATAGTTGTTTTTCAGTGCTCGAAATTTTATTAGCAGCAGCGAGACACGCTGAGAAAGTGAAAATGTCGGGATTTTTATGGGAAAATCGTATTTTCAGCACAAAAATTGGGGAATTGTAAAAAAAGTTTCGTAGGGTTTGACGTAAATTGGAGATGAGTCATGAATTTGATGTGGGATAAAGTTGCGAAAAGACGGACTGACGTTGGATTTAGGGCAGGTGGGGAAATAAGAAGGCTTTGAGATGGAAAAACGGAAAGTTATAAAGTTTTTTACGTTATACTACACTGACAAGGAAATGGTTTGAACTGTCCGTGAGCTTTCAACATGAGACCCACAGATTCTGAAAGAGCGCACAAAATTTAGTAGGAATCCGTTTTCCATTTTTGCCGAATGGTCTTGGGACGGTCGATTTTTATCGACCGGTTTTAATATGCTGATGTTACAGTAATCTTAGAGATTTGGTTTTCAGAAAATTGAATGCTCAATCACCAAAAACGTACATGTCCAGAATTTCGGGTCAGTACCTCTTTTTATGATGCCGTGAGGCATAAAATTCCAAAAAGGACAAATTTATGCAAATTTATACCTTCCGGGCAGAATTTGGAAAAAATATTTTGGGCGTTTGTTAAACACATGTCCAGGGTCATTTTAAAATAAAAAACTCAAAATTGACTTTTTCGTAAATATGCACGCGGTCAACTATACGCTGACGCAGGGATCCAAAAATTGTCTTTTCAACTTTTTTTGCGAAATTTTAAGAAAAGGTGAAAATTTGGCAATATTCTTTCCTGGGAATCCAAAAAAATTTGCAAGTTCCTGGAAAACCTTCTGGAATGGTCCAAAAACATCTTTACCATACCAGAAGACTGACAAATGGTATCATTGAAAACTCAACAATGTTACCAAATTGTCAACTTTTCTTGAAATTTTGCAAAAAAAAATCTGTAAAACACTTGAATAAACTTAAAAAAATTTTTTATATAGCTGTAGAATACAGTAACCGATATGTATATTCAAGCCGAGTATATCCGTTCCGGCTGGACTCGAACCTCCAAGACCTCCCTCGGCCAAAAGATTTGTGCGTGGAACTTTTTCCACTAGACTATTTGGTGACGCTTTTCTTTGCCTTCCGGTTCGTCTTTTTTCTCTTTCCATTCTTTTAGTCGGGTTTTTCTGTCGATATTTCTCGTCTCCCAAGACCATTCGGCAAAAATAGACAACGGATTCCTACTAAACTTTGAACGCTCTTTTAGAATTTGGGGTTCTCATGTTGAAAGCTCACGGACAGTTCGAACCATTCCCTTGTGAGGGATCTGATCCAGTGGCAAAAAACGTGCCATTTCAGATCCGGGAAGTATCGAAAAATGTGGCAAAATACCTCCATCTCCAAGTGAAAAAACTCCGATTTCAAATGCGTTCCCGCTCTATTTGCAAGGGACCTTCAAAACGGAGTTTTTTCACTTGGAGGTGGAGGCATTTTGCCACATTTTTTGATACTTCCAAGATGCAAAATGATACGTTTTTTGCCACTGTATCAGGTCCGTCACTGTAGTATAACATAAAAAACTTTACAACTTTCCGTTTTTCCACCTGAAAGCCTTTTTATTTCCCTCAACCTGCTCTCAATCCAACGACAATCCGTCTTTTCGCAACTTTATCCCATATCAAATTCATGACTCATCTCCATTCTACGTCAAACCCTACGAAACTTTTTTGCAATTCCCCGATTTTTGTGCTGAAAAACATTTCAACCAGCTTCATTTGCATAATCCCAATGAGTAACATGCTCATTCTGTCGTATTTAAGAGGCCAACCACCTGTTTTTATATCACTGCTCGGACAATTCGACCATTTTATATCGTACTAGGTGATTAAGTTGTATTTTGTTGAAAAATACATGGCTTTGTGTATAAATCTTGAGAATTTTGGTGAGTTATTAAATTTGAGGCCTTGATAATGTATCAAGAACCATGCAGCGTGTATTTTACAAAGGTTTTTGACATCAAAACCCCGAATTTTATCTTATTTTAGGTTTTTTTTGAAAAATTTGGTTTTATCTTTCTCCCTTCTTAATCGAATGTTGTTTATGCCCTTTCATAAAGCTGGAAAGGCTTTGTCAGAACGTATTTTACCAAATTCCCCGCCCTATCCTCGCTTCCCAGCTAATTTTACCTTGTTTTAGGTCACTTGAAGTCGGTCTATACTAAGCTCCACAAATCCAAGCCCAAAATTTCGCAACCCGCCAAGGAAGAGGAGACCATGTCGGGCGAGGCGTTGGTCGAGTTCCAGCAACAGTTTAGCAGCAGTCGGCGCGCGGGCCGCCGAAACGCGATGGGCGATTTGGGGCTGGAAGGAGTGGACCCGGGAGCGCACAAGCTGGCCGATGAGTTCGAGAAAATGGGAAGGGACAGTGCGGAGCAGCCCGGCACGTCGACGCAAAAAACTGGAGGTAGGTTTGCCTTGAGGGAATTCGGGAGTTTCCAAAAATTTCGATGAAAGTCAAAAAAATTTAGAAAATTCCAAAAAACATGTCATTATGACGGGTTTTTTACAAAATTTTCGAATATACTGAGATCTCAAGGATCGAAGGTCTTATTCTGTTGTTTAATTTTACACTAAATTTTTATTTTATGTCAAAATTTGCATAATTTTCGAAAAGCCCCAAAATCAAAAAAATGCCCAAAAAATCGGTCATGATGACAAATTTTGGAGCAAAATTTGACATGAGATTAGAGACAATACTTCGCTCTTCAACTTGGATACCATTTATTTGTTATGTTTACAGTTAACAACCGAAAAATCGACCGTTTTTCCAAAAATCCCATTCCTCTGGGATAATGTCCAAAAAATCGGTCATGATGACAAATTTTGGAGCAATTTTTACCATTACATTAAGCGGAATATTAAGCTTTTCAACCTCGATACTATTTGCTTACTCAATTTATAGTAATCGACCGAAAATCGACCGTTTTTCCAAAAATCCCATTACTCGGGGATAATGTCCAAAAAACCGGTCATGATGACAAATTGTGGAGTAAATTTTGACACGAGATTAAAGGAAATACTACCCTCTTTAAACTAGATATTATTTCTTTATTAAATTTTGTGTTATCGACCGAAAAATCGACCGTTTTTCGAAAACTCCCATTCCTCGGGTATAATGTCCAAAAAATCGGTCATGATGACAAATTTTGGAGCAAATTTTGACCTGATATAAAATAGAATGCTATCTTCTTGAGCCTCGATACCATTTACTTTTATGTTTATAGTTATCGACCGAAAAATCGACCGTTTTTCCACAGATCCCATTTTTCTGGGATAACTTCCCAAAAATCGGTCATGATGACAGATATATCAAAAATCAACTCTTCAAAATACCCTCAAATTACTCGTCAGGCTATTTTACACTAGAAAATATCAATTTCCCCCACCATGAACACTATTTTATCGGCTAAATCGTCAGTTTTCAGATGAATGACATCCACTTTTCCCTCAATCTTTCGATGAAATCAAACCCGGAGCCCGTTGTGGCTGGTCCAATGCAATTACATCGACACTAATGTAATAATTGTCTATTACAACCCTGTCTACGGTTATCTTTTCCCTGTATAATACGTTGTTTGTCTGATTTTTTTTTTTGGATTTCTTGCCGATCTTCGTAGTTTTTTCGACTAAATTTTTCGTTTCTTTACTTAAGTTTTTTGCCACTGCGTAGCGAGTTCTTCCCGTTTATGGTCTCATTTTAGTTGTTTTACGATTGGATTTAATAAACTTTATCGAATAAATTATGATTTGGTAATCACAGGGTAGTGTAATATAAAAATATGGCCAAATTATTACTTTTCAAGGTTCAAGTAGGGTAAATTATGGTATCATTCGAAAGCTGACATTTTCAGCTTTCTAATGATACCATAAACTTGGCATTTCATCCTTCAAAAAATCCAAAAAAAAAAATTTTTTGGAAAAATTTCCAAAATTTTAGTCCTACTATAATATCGCTGATTTCCAGCGCAAAAAATCTCATTTTCGAACTGGAAAAGCTTCTAAAATACAGCCTAAGGCTTGTTGAATTGATTGAGAATCTTCACAGCCGCATCCAAAGTCTCGTCCTTCTTGAAAAAGCACAATCTTATAAAGTGATCGTTGCCTTTCTTGTTCTCCGGCGAGTAAAATGCCGATGGCGGGATTGTCGCGAGGCCCTAAAATTTGAGATTTACCGCACACGCACCCTTCAACCCCACCTTCTCTCTGGTCAACCACCGCACAAACCGGAAGTCCAGCTCGTCTTCGGTGGTGTTTCGGAAAGGGCCATCTGAAAGAGCAGCAACTGATAGATAAGTCAATTTCCGATGGTCATAGCAAGAAGAACATACGAGAAATCAGTAGGTTAAACAAATGGAGATGTAAAATAACGTCTATTTAGCCAGTGGTAGTAAGTCCTAACGATCATAACAGCGTATTTTACCCAAAAATCCAATTTTCTTCACCTTGACGATCTAGATGAAGATGGTGGTTGGTCCCAAATTTTTCACTTGGTTATGTTCCCAAACTAGTCAAATATTCTCAAAATCCTCAATAACCCATTTTGAATCCATCAAACCCACTAAAAACTCCATATTTTATCCAAAAATCCAATTTTTCTTCACTTTATCCATCAAGATCAACATCGGCTCCAAATTTTTTAATTCTTTTTTGTCCTAAACTAATAAATCATTCTCAGAACTTTCTTACCAACTTTAAAAACAATCCACACCACAAAATCATCCGTATTTTACCAAAAAAATCCAATTTTCTTCACCTTGACCATCAAGGAGAAGATCGGCTCCAAAATTTTTAATTCTTTTATATCCCAAACTAGCCAAATATTCTCAAAATTACTCATGACCAATTTCGAATCCATGAAACCCGCTAAAAACTCCATATTTTCCCCAAAAACCCAATTTTCTTCACCTTGACCATCAAGGAGAAGATCGGCTCCAAAATTTTTAATTCTTTTTCATCCCAAACTAGCCAAATTCTCTCAGAACCTCCTACAACCATCTTAAAATCAATCCAACCCACAAATCTCCCCCAATTTTACCTATATGATCCATATCCGCGATGATAAAGTAGCCCGCCTCGGGTAAGATGGGGTTCATTCCGGCGTTCCTCAAATTCTCGGCTATCCGATTCCTTTTCGGCAGCAATTCCTCTGCCATCTTGGTGAACAAATACGAGTCCTTTCTATTGCCCTGATTGTACAATTTGAGCTCGCGTTCAAAGGCCCTCGCGACGCCTTCTTGAGTTGGGGTTGGGCAGGTGAAAACGCAGTTTTGATGGATCGCTTTTAACGGCTCGAGAAGCCTGGCCGGTCCCATGGACCATCCCAGCTTCCAGCCGGTGGCGGAGAAGGCCTTGCCCGCGCTGCCGATGGTAATCGTGCGCTCGTACATGTTGGGCAGACTCGCGAAACGGACCATCTCCGAGCCGGGGAAGATGTGCCATTCGTAGACCTCGTCCGCCACCACCAACAGATCAAATTCCTCGGCGATGCGGGCGATTCCCTCGAGCTCGGCGCGAGTATACAGCTTGCCGGATGGGTTGTTGGGGTTGTTCAAGATGATCATCTTCGTTTTGTCGGTGATTCGCGCTCGAATCTTCTCAAAATTGACAGCATAATCCGCTGAAGTTTTTGGATTTTCGGGCAGATCAAGAGCAATGGCGATTGGAACAGCTCCCGCCATCTTCACCTGAGGCACATACGAGTCGTACGCTGGCTCGAAGACTGAAAAAAAGCCCCATCATAGGTTGAACATCCTCCAATTGATCTAAATTTCAACAAAAAAAAATTTTAAACCACTTACTGATCACTTCATCACCAGGATTTAACCATCCCAGCATACTGTAATATAATGACAAATAAGCTCCGACAGTGATTAGAATCTCTTCGTTTGCTTTGATATTCACTCCCAAAAGCTTCGAATAGAATTCGGCGAGGACTTTGACTAGTCGGGGATGCCCATAGCCACGGGTATATTGATGCCAATCAGTTCTTTCTGGGTGTTCGGAGACGTCTTTAAGGATTTCTCCCATGAATTCCGGCATTGGAGAGTCAGGAAATCCCTAAATCAACAATTTCAGAAAGGATTCCGGTTAAATTTTATATTGCACTAGCCTCTCTATCAAAAATTTATTAAGATGTTTCCAACTAAACGAATTTCAGCCAAGAAGCAATCTTCAAAACATTCCTCCATACCTGTCCGAGGTTCACAGCCTTGCATTCGGCCGCTAGAGTTGTGAATTCCACCCTAAAATTCGAAAACAATCAACGGATCAAGATCAACTTACCAGATGCTCGGCTTGCTCTCTCGCGCCACAAGTGATGGGATATGCTTGCTCATTCTGGATGTCTGAAGGTGTAAGTACCTACCTGAAAACATAAATTAACACATTTAGAAAGATTATAAAATTTAGGTATCAGATGTCAAGTATAATATAAATTTAGTCGAAAAACATATCGGATTAAACTGAAAAGCTTTAGTAAATAGGAAGACAAATAAATAAACGCAATGCACTAGTTCTTATCAAAAACAATTAGTTTTTTTAATAATTTTATTACCTAAAATAATATTGTTCTTTAAAATTGAGAAAAATTAATATTTCCGGCAAAACTTGGCGCTAAAATTAATTGAATGTGATGAACTATTTTTGCAGATTATAAGACTCCAAGCTCCTGATCAAGCACGTGACACTTATGAACGCGTCACTCGTCGGCTGTCACTCAAAAAACCTAAACGTTGAAAAGAGCAAGCAATCGAAAAAACTTACCGATGGATGGTCTTTGATAAGACGACTTTATCAGAGTATTCAAATTGTTGGAGACGGCGCGTCTGAAACCCGCGAGGCTCATTCACCAAGTTCAAGGTGGTTTTGACCCTGAAGATTCGAAAAAATTTGCATAAATTGCCAGAAATGTATACCGGAATTTTCATGAACACGACCTAAAATACAAATGGCTTCCAATTTTACTATTTTTAGAGAAGTGTACCTAAAAAACCAAAAACTTTTTCTCAAAAATAAAAAAACAAAAAAATTTTGGAGAAAAACGTTTTTTCGTTCGAAAATAACGTAGCCATGCATGTTTATTGCTTTCCGTCCACAAACAAATACTGTTTCTCATCTATCTTATTCTTTTTCACTCTAAAATACCGCTTTTTGGGTTGGAAAAAATTAAAATTTATTGTTACCTCAACCTGTTACCTAAAATAAGGTCGTAGCTAGGTTTGCCCCCAAAAAATCTCAGCCTTTTCCCCATGCAATTTCAAAATAGACCCAACACTTTGTCTAGAGACCTTAGGATCCCCGTCAGACAATCATTTTCGCAAAAAAATTCAGCCGATATTACACTTGATCGATGGCCTTCCCGGAAATCGGGTTTTTATCGTTATCAGCAGAGACTGGGTGGTTTGAAGGGATGCCCAATGAAAGTCTCCGGGTTTTTTCTTTCGAACAAACGCAAGATCAAGTGATTTTGACAGTCCGTTGTGTCATGAACAAACATTTTCGCTAATTTTAGGTATCAAATCTAAAACATCAGACTGTAACTCGCTGAAATTTGTGGTCTTAACAAAGTTCCCGCGTTCATTCGACGTAGAATTTCATTCTTCATCTTTTGAGACCTTTTAAACCCCTGAACTCTTTCGATATTCCAGTGAAAATTATGTAAAAGTCTATTTCATCCCAAAAATCATAACAAACTATAAATCTATTGTAATAAACGTCCGTAACAAATGACCCAGTGCTATAATACTTCTATTACAATTGCGAATATGTTAAGAGGTGTCGTCGGGTTCGGAGCGGGCGGGCGAAGATGATATGGACCGGGATTTGGGGGGTGCAGAGTCGTCCAGCGACTGGTGGATGTGGTCCTCGACCAAGATCAGTTGATTCAATCGGGCAATGTCGGCGTCTAATTGTTTCTCTAGGTCGGTGCGGCGATGCATTGAGGCCTCCGTTTTGGCGAACGAGAGAATTTGGAGTTGTTCTCGGACTGAGGTCCGTTGGGATTGGGATTTGATAGTTGAATAGGCGTCATAGGCTAAAATAGAATGAATGTAGGTCAATCGGGGAAAAATTCGACGCAGATTCAGAGGGTTGTAGTTAGTTGGAAGTGATGAAAATGGAATTTGTTGATGAAAATGGGATTTTTTAGAATTTGAGGCGATTTTAGCGGATAAATGAAAGTTTCGAGGATTTTGGTGGATTTAGTAGAGAATTGAAGTGTTTCATTGACGAATCAGGCTATTCCATTGATGGGCTATGAAGTTTCATCGATGAATTTGAGGGTTTCATCAATGAAATTGAGAGTTTTTGGTGGCAAATTGATGATTTTTTTCGAATATCACGGTTATTTTTTATGAGTTCGGCGTCGGGGAGCGACGATTGGGGAAACCGAAAAGTATTACTTTTCTTTGATGTAAGTGTCGAAATTAGGATAATCGATGGCGCTGATTTCGAAAATGACATTAATTTTTTTGATCGTTACTATTTTTCTTAAGTAGTACTAAAGTAATAAAGTAGTAATTTTTTGATTTTTTTTCGCAAGTACTCTATTTCGGGGTTTTCGATAGTGTTGATTCCGCATCAGGACATTTCCGGAATTTGGACACTTCCGGAATGGCGGAATAGTGACACTTCCGGAATGGCGGAACAGTGACACTTCCGGAACCGGGGAAAAATCAAAGAAGAGGCTTAGACCTGCCGTCTGAACCATCTGACTGGATTTATTGTTATTAATCTCAAAAATTTTGTTATTTTTTTTCTGATTGTTACTTTTTTCTTAAGTAGTAGTGTTAAAAAGTAATTTTTTGCGATTTTTCCAAAAATACTGGATTTAGGGGTTTTCGAGGGTGCTGATTTCGAAAATCATGTTAGCTTTCCTCTTCATAGTACTATCTGGTACTATACAGTACGAAGTGAAAATATGGCTTTCGGCGTTAATGGTGTTGTTTTGATGCTTGGTACTCCTCAAAAACACGTTTTAAATAATTGGTACTGTTTAGTACTGTCTGGTACTATGTAGTACAAGGTGAAAATAGGAGTACTAAGGAACAGAACAACACCACTAACGCCTAAAGGCCAAATTTTTACCTTGTACTACACAGTACCAGACAGTACTAAACAGTACCAATTATTTAAAACGCGTTTTTGAGGAGTACCAAGCATCAAAACAACACCATTAACGCCGAAAGCCATATTTTCACTTCGTACTGTATAGTACCAGATAGTACTATGAAGAGGAAAGCTAACATGATTTTCGAAATCAGCACCCTCGAAAACCCCTAAATCCAGTATTTTTGGAAAAATCGCAAAAAATTACTTTTTAACACTACTACTTAAGAAAAAAGTAACAATCAGAAAAAAAAATAACAAAATTTTTGAGATTAATAACAATAAATCCAGTCAGATGGTTCAGACGGCAGGTCTAAGCCTCTTCTTTGATTTTTCCCCGGTTCCGGAAGTGTCACTGTTCCGCCATTCCGGAAGTGTCACTATTCCGCCATTCCGGAAGTGTCCAAATTCCGGAAATGTCGTGGTGCCGTTGATTCCAAATCAAAACATGAATAAGATTTTCAGAATCAGCACTATCGAAAACCCCTAAATCGAGTATTTGTGAAAAAGGTCAAAAAATTACTACTTTACAGTACCACTTACGGAAAAAAAGTAACGATCAAAAAAAATGAATGTCATTTTCGAAATCAGCGCCATCGATTATCCTAACTTCGGCACTTGCATCGAAGAAAAATAATAATTTTCAGTTTCCCCAATCGTCGCTCCCCGACGCCGAACTCATAAAAAATAACCGTGAAATTCGTAAAAAATCATCAATTTCCCACCAAAAGCTCTCAATTTCATTGATGAAACGCTCAAATTCATCGATGAAACTTCATAGCTCATCAATCAAATAGCCTGATTCGTCTGTGAAACACTTCAATTCTCTACTAAATCCGCCAAAATCCTCAAAACTTTCATTTTATCCACTAAAATCGCCGCAAATTCTAAAAAATCCCATTTTCATCAACTCTAACCCTCCAAATCTCCTTCATACAGCCTCCCTCACCTCTGCTATGATTTCTGACCGCGCACCTGATCGTGCACCTCAGTTCGACCATCTCGATTCGGCTCAGAACCGGCGAATCTTGTTGGTGTTTCACCGGGTCTGCCGCGACTTCCGGCGACTCAATTTGATTGCTACAGCTTGGTAGGTCGTCCTGACCGAGCGGTAGTCGTATTCCGACCTTTTCCTCTTCTATTGAGGGCGATTTCTCCCTTCCGTAATCAAAACATTCGTCCAGCAGCTTTTGCTGCTCCTTTTTTTGCGCAATTTCTTCCTCGTCCTCCGAGGACGAGAACGATGAATCGGAATTTTCGCCTTCCTCATCGTCTTCGCCGTCATCGCTGCCGCGTTTTTTGCCGTTTCTGGCGTTCGACTTTTCCTTTTTCCTCGGCTCGGTTTTGATTTTCTTTTCCAGCCGCGCCCGCGTCATGTATTTTGGTTCTTTGTCGGGTACGTAGGCCGCTTCTTCATCATCGGATGATGCTAATGGGACGTATATGCCTTCCACGACGACGCAACTTCCATCATCTTCGAGAATTCCGTTGAGATCACCGTTCTGTTGAGGTTTTTGCTTCTTGACGTACTTGTTCTAAAGTAGGGTAAATTAAACATGTTTTTACCGAGTTTGTAGTACAGTAAATGGTCTAAAATTTTTCACAGTCTCCTATCATGATGTCTAGTTCCCATTTGACAGCAATTTTCAAGATTCAAACACAGACTTTTGATTTTATATTACACTTGACATCTGATGTCAAATGCAGTATAACTTCTCAATATTCACTAAAACATAACAAAAGAGTCTCTAAACAAAAAATATAGGGCTTTAGACATCACTGACGTGGTTACGCAACAATCAAACTTTATTCCGGCACCTTATATTACTCTAGACATCTGATGTCAAGTACAATATAACTCGCCGTTCTTCTTAAAAACCAGCCAAATAGATATTTACCTCGCAGTAATATCCCTTACCCCCAAAACTATAATCTACATCAGATGTCAAGTACAATATAAATCGACTCTCAAACTTGGCTCCCACCCAAAATTTCCGTCAAAATAGATGCACCAAAGTATTCCTTACACTTTTCAAATGCTCTTCCCTGAATCCCTTCACCAAATCTTCCCTGGCATCGTATTTAAATTGCTTTTCCTCTTCTACCTCCTTGACCTTCGGATATCTGGCCAGCATTGGTATCGAGTCTTCGCCGATCTCTCCCTCGCTTTCCTCATCGCTATTTGAAGGCTTTGGCTTTTGTTCCTTGCCACTTTCATCTTCTTCTTCCGTCTCTTCCGACTCTGCGCTTCGATTTATCTTATCCGTCTCATCCAATGTCTCGGCTTCCTCCTCCTCTTCGCTCGACTCTATGACCATCTTTTTCTTCTTTTTCGCCACTTCCACCTCCTCTTGCGGTTCATTTTCATCCGCTACATTGCCGTTGTTTCCATTTTTCTCGGGTGTTTCGACATTATCCTTGCCATTCAGCAGTCTTTTCGTTGGTTTTTTGGCCTCCTCTTCGATCACATCGTCCATTCGGACGCCCGAATCCTCCGACGTCACCGATGATGGGGATGGGGTGGTGGTGCAGCCGGCTGGCACGTTGTAGCTGCCCATTTCCTCGTCCGAAATTATGGAAAAGTTCTCTTGTTCGGGCTGCTCGTCTTCTTCTTCTTCTGGCATTTCCTCCTCCTCTTCGATGTTCGGCGCCAGGTCGCCCGGCTCCGACGCCGCGTATCGCGGGCGTTTCGCGTCAATTTCGTTGTCCAAATCGCCCGTATAGCCGAGGTCTGAGACCACGGACTCGGCGTCCGAATAGTTCGAAAGCCGGCGTTGCCTGGAAAAATTCAAATTTTTTGATTAATCAACCCAAAATGGAAACTCCAAAGTAACTAAAATCTATTACAAAAGCCTCTGAGTTACTATAAACCTCCTTATTTCTTCAAAATAATCTAAACTTGGCCAAAAAATCCAACAATTTTGTCTAAAATATGGTCCAGATCTAAATTTTTCCCAAATTTCATATTTTTTTCTCTTCCAAACCTTCTAAAACTCTCTGATATTACTTCCAGGTCCTATACCGTCCCTTTCAACTCTCTAATCCCACTACATTCATCTTCTCTCCCCTTCATTTTCGTACCTCCACCTCATCAGGGCTTCTCGATCCAACGGCCCAACCCGTCGCTTCATCATTCTCGGATTTCCACTTGGTGTTTCGGTGGCGCCTTTCTTCTTGTCCTTCTCTTTTCCATTTCCGTTGTTTTGGGGCATTTGTGCGGTGTCGGGGCCTTCATTTAGATCTGGTGGGACCTCATCCACGGCCATCGACTTTTTGTCCAGCTTGAATGGGTTTCCGAAGGCGTGCGGCTTGGCTTGAGGGGGTTCGAAATCGCGCATTGGGGCGAACCCAATGTCGGCGAGGCGTTTCGCGTACAGGTTGAAATCGCCCATTTTTTGGATGGGCTGTGCGTGAAGATCTTCCGCGTGCTGCAGACGAATTCTTTGGCCCGGAATTCCGCCTTCCAGCACTGGGATGGCCGAATTGTTCAGGTTCAGCTCCAGATTGACCCGCATTCGCTCCAACTGATCGACAATATCCTCTCGTTCCACCAGATACGGGTTCAAAAAGCGTTGGGCAGTGTCTTTGGAGATCCGAGTGGGGGTGATCGCTACCTAAAATAAAATTTTGAGGTCTCAGCTTTACACACCAGCGATTTTTTTCGAGATCAAACGACTATCCCTAAAAAAATCTCACAGTGCAATTTCGTAGTTGAAAAAAGCCTAAATTTTTGCACAGTGCAATTTCATAGTTGAAAAAAGCCTAAATTTCTGCACAGTGCAATTTTCTAGTTCTAAAAAGCCTACGTTTTCGCACAGTGCAATTTCGTAGTTGAAAAAAGCCTACGTGTCTGCACTGTGCAAATTTTTAGTTGAAAAGAGCCTACGTTTTCGCACAGTGCAATTTCGCAATTGAAAAAAGCCTACATTTTTGCACAGTGCAGTTTTCTAGTTGAAAAAAAGCCTACATTTTTGCACAGTGCAATTTCGCAATTGAAAAAAGCCTACATTTTTGCACAGTGCAGTTTTCCAGTTCAAAAAAGCCTATATTTTCGCACAGTGCAATTTCGTAATTGAAAAAAGCCTATATTTTCGCACAGTGCAATTTAGTAATTGAAAAAAGCCTACATTTTTGCACAGTGCAATTTTCTAGTTCTAAAAAGCCTACGGTTTTGCACAGTGCAATTTCGTAGTTGAAAAAAGCCTAGAATTTTGCACTGTGCAATTCCGCAGTTGAAAAAAGCCAACATTTTTGCACAGTGCAATTTCGCAATTGAAAAAAGCCTACATTTTTGCACAGTGCAGTTTTCTAGTTGAAAAAAAGCCTACATTTTTGCACAGTGCAATTTCGCAATTGAAAAAAGCCTACATTTTTGCACAGTGCAGTTTTCCAGTTCAAAAAAGCCTATATTTTCGCACAGTGCAATTTCGTAATTGAAAAAAGCCTACATTTTTGCACAGTGCAATTTTCTAGTTCTAAAAAGCCTACGGTTTTGCACAGTGCAATTTCGTAGTTGAAAAAAGCCTAGAATTTTGCACTGTGCAATTCCGCAGTTGAAAAAAGCCAACATTTTTGCACAGTGCAATTTCCAAATTGAAAAAAGCCTACATTTTTGCACAGTGCAAAAACCAATCAAAAAAAAATCGGCCACTAAAAACCTACCGTTGCATCCTTATAAAGCGGTTGAATTTGTTGTTTGTAGCTGGTCAGATGGCCGATTTTGCGTTGATTCAAGGTCTCGGGGACTGCACTTTTCACCACCGGAGCCATTGGTAGGGTCATCGTGGCCGTGAAATAGGGTTTCCTTTCCATTTTTTGGATCTCCGTGCACGTCTTCTCAAAGTCTTCTTTGCCTTGCGTTTTGGCCTTGCTGACCGCCTGCATTACCGTGAAATGGAGGAAATGGAAGGGTTTGGAGTCGTCCAGCATTGGATGCTGGATCGGGTATTTCGCTAGGACCTTCCGAAGGGGCTGAAAAGTGGTTGTATATCAATTTTAGAGGTTTAAATGGCAAAAAAATATAAAATTCTTAAAAAATCATAATTTTTTGCCTAAAATAATATAAATTTAGCCTCAAATTCCCGCTATTTCTATCTGATATTAAACAAAATACTATTTTTATTACAAATACCATTTGAAATCGCCAAAAAATTATCAAAAAAGAAAAAATATCATCAATTTTTGCCTAAAGTAATATAAATTTATTCTCAAATTTGGATTATTTCATCTTCACAGGACCTCTACTACCCTTGATTTACAAATAAATGCAAAAAAATTGCAATCCAACCCCGCAAATTTCCAAAAAAATCCAAAAAAAACATCTAATACCTACCACAATATAATAGCTGGGAATTGTTCGAAAATACCGTTCCACTTTCTGTTTGAACTCTTCCGTGGTGCGATTCTTCTCCTCTTTGCATTCCTCGATGATGGCGAAGAGCAATGGGTAGTTGTATGGGAATATGAACACATTCACCGTTTGCAGGTTCGACGCCGCCTTCATGTAGCCGAAAGGGAACCCGATGCCGGGCCGATTGTACGAGTTGTTGACGAATAATTGCCAGCAACAGGAGGGGTCGCGTCTGTTGAGGATGTATTCTGCCAATGGGCCCGATTCCAGTTCGTATTTGTCGAAGGGAAAGCCGGGAGTGCTGACCTGTTCGGTTTCGTCGCAGCGGAACGAAATCTCGGGATACACCTTTCTGGGTGGAAGTTGGAGACTGAAAATAATATTTTTTAGAGAGCTGATAGTCTCTGATATCTATATCAACTCAATTCCACCCAAAATTCAACAATTTTTACTAGAAAACCCAGACTTTTTTAAAGTCGTCTATACCTTATACATGGTCCGAAATATCAGTTCATAACTTTTTCTACCGTAAGCTAAATCTTCAAATTCTTTTTTAAACAGTAAACTGACATCATAATAAACCTCAACACACAAAAAACCACCTTATTATAACCATCGACTATTCGAAAAAAGTCAATTTTTCAACATGACCTCGACATTATAAAGGGTCCGAAACATCAGTTCATAACTTCTTCTACTGTTGGCTAAATTCTCAAATTCTTTTTTAAACACCAAGCTGACATCATAATCAACCTATATACAAAAAAATGATCTTAATACCGCCATCGACTATTTGAAAAAGTCAATTTTTCAACATCATCTCGACATTATACATAGTGAAAAAACTTAGTGTTTTCTCCAAACACACAGCTCAATTCTTCAAATACCTATTCTACTACATCTCTATCTCTCATTTAGTTGTCATTCAGGCCATCTACATCTTACTATAAGCCCCACACGTCAAGAAAAAATAAAAGAAAAACGGGCGCCCAATGAAAAAGCCTAGATTTTTTTTGGCATTCTGCCCTGTGCAAATTCGTTTTTGTCCAAATGGCTTGCAATATTTTGACATAAAGATTATTAGTAAATCACAAGATATTGCTACCAATAGAAAGCTCGAGAGTTGCTTAAGCTAATAGAACCAAAATATAGCCATAATCATAGTGTTTTGACAGTCTTCCAAGGCGTAGAATACAACGTCTAAATAAAAGTTTGTATCGACGATACCGAGTCAGAGAGCACTGGGAGGAGGTATACGCTCTACGTCAAAAAAATCCTTAAACTGTTCTTCGAGTATCTACACCGGTCTCGTCCCGGTTGATGGGACAGTTTTTTTGATATTCGGCCTTGAAATTTGCACTATTTTTAGCCTAGCTCGAACCATGTTCAGAAAATTCGTCACGATGACACCCATTTAGAATGTAACAGCGGTATAAAAAACAGTTGTATACGACTAACAGTACTCCCTAGAGTTCCCATAAAAAAAATTAGGTTAAAAATTGCTGTTATGTGCAATTTGGATGACAGATTTTATGAATTTTTTTTCGCTGTGAGAACCTTTGCAATGCCCGAAATTTCTTGACGTGCCCCACATCCATTAAAAATTTCGATATTACACTAGACCCAGCCAATCGCCAAAAAAATGCTGAAAACTGGCACCTACGTTGACTGATCCGGCCAATAGCTTTCAGGTATTGGCCATGATGACTGTGTGTTCGTATGGACTTTGGTTCCACGATGAAGCAGTACCACGGACTTCTTCCAATCCACTATGTTCCCGTCAAGTTCTTCTTCTTGGATGACCTCTGAAATCATTCCGATTTTAGTTATTTTAAAAATTTTAAGTCAATTAGAGTCCACTGATACTAATGATATCCATCCACGGCACTGGCTACAGTAATTTTTCAAAAAATTTTAAAATTTTAAAAAATCTAAATTAATATCAAGTTCAATATAAAAAACACTACCTTGATCGTTCTTCGCCACATGATCGTCTTTGGCCTCTCCGTCGACAACAGTGATACCCGTGAGAACTTCTTCCTCTTCTTTTGGCACTTCGGGCAACGGATTTTTCGGAGCTGAAGGTTCTGGGCCATGCTGCTGCAGTCTAACAAACACCCCATTCACTTGGATTTTCTGTAATACCGCATCCAAGATGGCATTCATCTGTTTGGCAGCCCGCATTCGATATAATTTGCCTGAAACTTCCGATTTACAGACATCATTATATTGCACTTGACATCATGTGTAATATTGCGTCATAACTTGGCGCTTGTCCATTCTAAACATTCAAAAACAAAAGTAAAATCTCACCATTGACCTTGTGGATCATATTCTTCGCAGCACTGTGTTCAAAAGTCGGGCTTTCCTCGGGATATTCCTCTTCTTCATCTTCCTCCATCCAATCCTCAATCTCGTCCAAAGGTGGATGGCCCGGGATGTCCAAGCCCACCACGAAGAGCCGATGATCCCATCTGAATGGTTCTTCCGTCAGCTCGCCCAGGGGCTGAGGAAGTGGAGGGAACCCGTCTTGCTGAAGAGATACAACCGTATATTCACCATGACCTAAAAACGAACAAAAAATCGAAAAAAAACTTACAAATTCTTCGGACAAATCGAGATTATTGTAATCCACAACAGCAATAAATACAACCGGCTCGGAAAAGCTGGGATACCGGCCATACCCGTAGTTCTCGATACCCGTTTGCGTTCGATTTAAGTTGACGAACCGAAGCGCGTTATAAAACGCCTCGATAAAGTCGGATGAACCCGATGCCCGGAGCTGACGAAGCTGCTCGTTGAAGTGACTTTGGGCCTCTTTCCAGCCGGACTGCAATTCGTGATGTGATTATTGGAAAAGGTTGGGAAAATTTGACATTACAGTAGGCTCTGGCTTACCTTAACATTACTGGGATACTCCTCGAACCCCATCAACATATACCTGTCATTTTTTGAGATCGGATCACGTTGTCGCTGCTGCAAGTATAGAAATTAAAATTTTAGGAAAAGACATAAAAATTCTCAAAAAAATTTTTGATAGCCTAAAGTAATAAAATCCTTAATTTTAGAAAACTCAAGCTATAAACTTCTTGTAAAAGCTGCCTAGAACTTGACACAACGTCTACTGTATCTAATAGGCTATAATTCAGAAGCAACAAGCCCCAAAGGAACTTGGAGTCCACAAAAATCCAAGGGACCATCAATTTTTGGCCTAGTACAATATAAAATTGTCTTCAAAAAAATTTCTGACAAATTTTGCAAATTTCTTTACAGTAAGCCAGCTGCAATAAACCCTACAGCTACCGTACACCCCAAAATCACAGTATTCTTCCATCTCGCCGACCTAAAATCCGAAAAATTCGAAGACAAACCCCCACCTTGAGAAATGCCTCCACAAATTGCCGGACAAAGTCCATATAATTGATTCCATTCACGGTCCGCGTGGACATGGAGCCGCTGTTGTCGACCAGAAAGACGATGATTGTCATTTCGATGGCACTACGTTATGTACAAGCGGCGATTCGACGGCAGCATTCGCCCGTTGGACGTCTACAATATTTTTGGTGTGTTTAATGCGGTTTCAGATTGAAATTTTGAAGTTTGAAGGCTTGTTTGGGCGTTCTTATCGTGAACAAAAAAATATTTTTGCGAAAAATTGCACCTGAAACGAAATGCCAGAATTATTGCGATTTCAAATTTCGCGCCAAAATTTTCGCGGCGGGATAAACTCAGGGTGGAAGTGTTGGGTAAAATACGACCGAATAGCATGACACAAATGCGGATTGATGATTTATCTAGCATTTTCCATCATTTTCATTAGTTTTAAAAAGATCTTTTACAAATTTGGACCTGAAGTCGATGGTGAAGATGCCAGTGGAGGTCGTCGGACAAGATCGTCAACTGCAAACCGTCTCAAATGCCTTCAGAATCTCGTTTTATCTCATTCCTCCTTTAACGTTTTTTTTCACGACCGTCTTCGGGGTATAAAACGCCGATTCAGAGCCTAAAACAATGTCAGCTTGAATAAATTTCGACCCCGTCTTCTCTCCGACCACTCTACAAGAGAGTACACACATTGAGAGAGAAAAGAAAAGATAATTTGGAAAAGGGAGAGGACGAAGAGCTTTTAAATTTCGGAAATAGCCGTAAAAGTGCGCACAGTGCAATCAAAACATCCTTGTTTGTGCGCTACATCCTAGAACACGCAACGTTGCGGTGCGTAGTGTCATCTGCTATACAGACGAGCCCCCTACGACCGGCTGAGCTCTCAAGCTCGCCGTTGGAAGCCCTTTTCTTCGTCTTACCAGTGGTTATGTGCGCACCCCGTCGCACCGTGCGACACACCGCGATTCCGACGAAACCCCCCGAATTCCTTATTACGAGGCGACTGTCTGACGCCCTCCACTGCTTACCACACACCTCCGCACTCTCTACCGAAAACTTTGGAGAATGCTAGGGAATCATCGTATAAAATGTCGCCTTGACATTCGAAGGCCCGAAATACATAATTATCATCGTGAAGACGACAGAAGATAATAAAAAAAATTACAAAAAAACATCTGATTCATCTAGTCATCGTGATCGATTCCGTTGATGTCCAAAAAATCCGTCATTATTCCAAAAATTCGGTCATTTTTCAAAAAATCCCGTCATTATGACGGATTTTTTCGGGATGGAGATTCCGACTGCGACTCGATTACTCATCATGGCCTTGTCCCACCTTCTCGACCATGATCTTCACGAAAAGTCGGCGAATTTCAAGAATTTCCAGAAAACACGTCATCATGACACCCTTTTCCGCGCCCTTCAGACAGACGATTTCGACACGGAACTGATCATGATGACGTAAATGTCTCAGAGACAAGAGGCTTTCATGTTTGGAGCGGCGGTTCGGCCGCTATGACATGACTTCCGTCATGATGACACCTTATTTTAGCCATCCCAGCCAGCCTAGCCCTCTTTCTCCTCTCAATTCCACTCGTTTCGGCCACCAAGACAGTCGGACTGTGTTTTGGATGACATTTTCTCGAGACAGACTGACGGATTTTTTAGACAGACTGACGTATTTTATGGATTTTTGCGAAAACTGTGTCATCATGACGGGTTTTCTCGTAGGTTCGAGGTAGACGAATTTTTATCGAATATACAACCACACCGTAGCCGAATATCGTAGCCGAATGAAGCAGATTCCGAGCCGATTTCACCAAAAAGTCTTCAATTTTTTCGCCTGTCACGGAACGCCACAATCGATTTTTCGGCGCGACGAAGTGTCAAAATTGAATTTGCGAAAAATTTTTTGATGATAAACTTATTTTTTTGGACGAAAAATTGTTTAGGAATCTTGCAAATCTATTTCGAAAGGTGTGTAAAAATTATTTTGCATTGTTTTATATTGTTTTAGGATCAAAAATGTCGAAAGTTGAACTTGATGCTCTGCCCGCATTTGACTTCTCCAATTCGATCAGGAATGTCGCGCTAGACAGCATGGGCGTGCAACCATACGTTCATCGATCAACTGGTACCACAATTGTTGCATGTTTGTCCAAGGTGGGTGATTTTGGAATTATTTTTTTTGGGCTCAGGTGTTGAGGTCGTGGATAATATAATAAGAGCTGGAGGAAACGAGATATCAAGGCAATTTTTCGCAGAGTAGAATCTAGAAGGGTTGAAGAAGCTGACTGTATGTTTTTTAGTAAGGTCTTATGCGTGCAAGCTTATTTTTGCGGCATTTATATTGGTTATGGTGAATAGTAAAATTTCGCTCTAAATTTGCAGTGTTTTGTCGATTATTGTTCTCAATAGTTGCTAAGAGGTATAGTAGATGTATTTCAGCCTTTGGTTTAATTGTATTCTTCTTTGTTAAAAATTCAGAGCAATTTTTATATTGTCCATACCACTTGAAGTCAAAAATTCGTACTTTCTCTGCGGATCTCCCGATTTTATCGTTGAAATGGCTATTTTTAGACCGGTGTTGTAATGGGCGCTGACTCTCGAGCGACTCAGGGCAACGTTATCGCCGACAAACAGTGCGAGAAGGTCCACAAACTCACCGAATCCATGTATGCTTGTGGTGCCGGTACGGCGGCTGATCTGGACCAAGTGACCCGGATGCTTGGTGCTAACCTCCGACTTAGCGAGCTGAACACTGGAAAGAAGGCGCGCGTGATTGCCGCGTTGAGGATGGCCAAGCAGCACCTGTTTAAGTACATGGGCTATATCGGAGCGTATTTGTTGATCGGAGGTGTGGACGCCACGGGTCCGCATCTGTATGAATGCTCAGCCAATGGTACGACCATGGCCAAAGCTTTTGCTGCCGATGGTAGTGGAAGTTATTGTGCTATTACCGTTTTGGAGAGGGATTTCAAGAAGGATATGACTGTAAGTTAATTTTCTTGTTTTTTCGATGTTTAGGTAGCTACAAATGTTCGACAACCTCTGTAGAGGAGTAATTGGCCTATGTGGAGGGTCTGAGATAATAATATCAAGTAGACATACACATCTGGATCGATTTTTATATTACACATGCCATCTCAATATTACCCTTCGCATTTTCAGACCGCTGAAGCCAAGGCTCTCGTCCAGCGCGCCTTGGAAGCCGGTATGCACGGAGATAACATGAGTGGAAACTCGTTGAATTTGGTCATCATTGAGAAGGACGAGACCATCTTCGAAGGACCCATTGTTCCAGAATTCTGCAAACTCCCAGAACCTCTGGATCTCACTTACAAGTTCAAGGCCGGCACCACAAAGGTCCTGAAGCAAAAAACCTTCAAATACGATGTGATTGAATCCATGGACCTGCACTAATAATATTGTACTTGTTCGATTGTCACACCGATAAATCTAATTATTCAAAATTTTGGTGGTTTTGTAATTGTAGACGCCAATTATGTACTTGAAATAGTTGGAATAGAGTGTAAGGAATCTTTTGAGAGCATTTTTAGTTATTTATTTGACAAAGGTTTAGTATTTTTGACAATTTTTTTGATTGAGGTACCTAGTGTAATATAATTTTTTCCCCTATTGTTGATGTTTTCGCCTCTACGACTCGGTCAAAACAAGCAGCGACCCGAATGGAAGTGGTTATTCGATTTGGCTGTCCATTTTTTTGTCTTTTTTCCATGTTCCCCCTCTTCGTTTTTATCCCCCAAATTTGCTTTGTTTTCCCATTGGAGAACCGGGTTTTTTAGCTTTTTTATCTTCCCAGAATTTCAGCAATTTTTCCTCGAGAGTGTATGGATTTTTTCGCGGACGCGTCATCTCTTCCGTCAAATTTTTTCGAGTTTCCCCTCGACTTGGGGGTCAAGTGTAATATAATTGAGCTAATCACCGGTATCCCCAATTTTTTGGGGATTTTGGTTATTAAAATTTGAAGTCAAGTCCTCGACACGTAATTTGCATCCCATTTCCCGCATGGCCAGTCCGTTTTCGGCGGCCTTCCATCTAATTTTCGCTGGGCTTCCGTTCCCGCCGCGCACCTGTCCGAAAACCGGATGAATCCCACCTCCTGTCGTGTTTATATTCATAGTTTTGGGTTTCAAACGAACCACCAATGTCTTGTTGGCATTCAGCGTTGATAAAACGTTGGCTATTGTGAAATTTCTCGGGTCTTTTTTACAAAAGATTGTTTTTTGAGTTTTTCGCCTAAAACAAGGTGAATTTCTCAAAAATTTGGGGGAATAAACGTTTTAAAAATGATGGAATAAATTCAGCAGGTGCTTTTTGGCCAATTTTAATGAGTTTTGTTCCAGTTCCGTTGAAATTTTTTATGTTGTTTTAGGTGTTTCTGATATTTGCGTTTTAAATTATTGGGAAATTGGAGGTGTTTGAGGTGTATTTTGATAAGATATGGGGCTGATAATCTTTTCGAGGAGTTTCTTCGACAATTCACTCGATATTTGCAAGTTTATGGTGTTATTTATGAGATTTGTTGTCTAAAATAAGGTAAAAATGTGTTTTTTCTATGGGAAAACGCTAAATTTTTCTTCTGGTTATTATTTTTGATAGAAGCTGAGGGTTTTTATGAGATTATGAATGGGTATTTCCACAGAATTTACGAGGATTTTGCCTTCTGCGGGCCTTTTTATTCATCTTGACATACCTCCAAAATTTGATATCTAAAATAAGGTTCCGAATGCCTGAAAATCCCTTTTTCGGTGAATGTCAAAGCACGACAAGCCCTATGACATGGTCAGGAATTTGAAGATTGTGTTTGCACAGACTCTTTTCCAATTTGTTTCGGCCCCCCCGAACTTTCGGCATTCCCCTCGCCATTTTTGGCTTATATGCCCCGAGGGCCTCCGCGTGCGCCCGTCTTTTCCCCGCCCGGGCGTGCGTTTTTTATGTGCCAACGTAAAAAGAAATAATTTTTGGTGCGACGGCAAAGATTTCCGAGCGTTTTGCCCCCGTTTTTCGTCAACATTGGCCAAGGAGAATATCGGGAATTACTTATGAGCCTTTACTCATGCAGTTTGGAGGTTCGAGAAGCTTAATTGGGCTGAAAAAAGTTTGGTTTGGCAGAATATAGATGATTTTCCACCTTATGTTAGGGAGATTTGTTGTGGAGGATATTAATTTAGCCGATTTTTTGGTATTTTTTTGATGTTTAGTCGATGAAAAGGAAGAAAACAACAATTTTGGGGCTTGATTGTTGTTTTGATAACGTTTTTGACCTTTGTTTAGGCTTAGGTTTCACAATATTACACTAGATACGTCATGGATAATATAATTTTATAACCTGTTATTTCGCGTTGATTTTTGGTTTGAATGCCGTAGAAGGTGTCGAAAATCGTACTAAAAATTGCAAAGTGCCATCTCTTCAGGTAGAACATAAACCAACCGGGCCGAATCGACGATCCTCACTTCTTCCCTGTAGTCGAGAATGGGTGCCCAGGCCTCGTCAGCCCAAGCTCAAATGCAACAAGAACATGATCCCAACTCCGCATTCCCATGGTGGACGAGATTCCTGGCCAAGGGACTGGGGATCTTTGGTGGTTTTATCGCAATGTTCTTCGGACTTCTTGGTCTTCTCAGTTTTAGTGCCACCTGCATTGCAGCGGTTCTACTACAACTGTAAGTGGTTTTGTTTTTTGTTGTTCTTGGTTTTTAGGAAAACGAAGAGACGATATGTCGACTGAACAGGATTTCTAATAGGATTTAGTTGATTTTCCAAGGGAATTGAGGATTTATATTAGCCTTGTCCTTTTAGCCCCTGGTCTTGAAGATTGGAATTTTTGAGGGCTTGATGATCAATTCTTTGAATGATTTTTGGCATAGAGAAAGAAATAGACCTAGTCTTGATATTCAGAAAGATTTTAGATTCCCTGGGTGGTTAGTTCATCAAGTTTTAGACCAGTTATATTACCCTTCCCAGCTTGAGGTTAGGAAATTGAAACTGCTCAAAAAGATTAAATTGTGGCTGAATTTGACATTGTATTGGAGTATTTAGAAAGAATAAAGGCTTATCTTACTGTGTAGAAAAAATCTAGCTACCGGGGTCTTCATTTCACAACTTACGACCAAAAATATTATCCATCCTTTTCAGAGCAGCCGGATTTGCAACTGTCGCGCTGGAAGCGCCCTTCTGCTGCGCTTTCCTCGACTTTTTCGAACGGATATCACAGTTCAGTGAATCTCGCGCCTTCTGGCAAAAGGCCGCATTATACATGGGCATGGGAGCCGTACCAATTTTGATTTGTCCCGAGCTCAACACAATCTTGGGAGCCGGCACAATTTTTGCTTCAGGAGTCGTATATGGCTTCATGGCATTGGGCAAAAAGTGAGTTTCAAGAGAGAATAGAGTCTAATAGAGATGTCTGTAGCAAAATTTAACGGTTTCTCTTTAGTTGTGATATTATTTTAGTGAAAATTTTGACATTTTGACTAATTTTTGATAATTTCAGAGCCGACCGAGGTCAAATGATGGCTGCTGGTGGCTCGGATCCCGCCTGGAACCCCAACGTCCAATCGGGCGCACCGCAAGGCTTCAATCAACCATAAACAACATCAAAATTTTCCATTTTTCATTGGCCTATAAGTTAAAACCAAATTTTTTTCGAATAATTTATTGATTAGTCCGCATGAAATTACCTTCTAACTGTTTTCTTTAGTCTGATTTAACATCAGAAAGCCAATTTTGCTAAGATTTTTTCTATTTTTCTCAAGTTTTGCTCTAAAAAGCGTAAATTTTGGCGAAAATGTCTAAATTCTCCCTCAAAATTTCACTTCCAAGTTCTTCCAAGCCAGTGTTTAGCGGTTTCCATCGAGGTTGTACTGTCTAGCGTAAATTACGAGGCTTTCCAACGTTCCTACTAAGCTTTTTATCCAAATCTGATCATTTTTTGCATGTTTTTTGACGAATTTTCTGGCAAATTAAAGAAAATTTCAATTCATTTTGATGGATTTATTTCGAATACAATGCAAAAAACCATGATATATCGTGTATAACAAGCTATGAGTATCGGCAATAGGGCTACAATAGTTTTTATGCGGATATTTATATTACAATGGGGACCTGATCCAGTGGCAAAAAACGTACCATTTTGCATCCGGGAAGTATCAAAAAATGTGGCAAATGCCTCCCTCTCCAAGTGAAAAACTCCGCTTTGAAGAACCTTCACAAAAAGAGGCTTTTTTCACAAGGAAAGTACTTCTATGGGATATGGCGTTACAGGTCGAGAGATATATCAAAAAAATCGCAAAATTTTTCTGATTCAGAATATGTAAAAGCGAGCTGCCTAATTTTGGTTTGTAAGGGTGAAAAAATCCTCAGAACTTTTCTCGCAACACCACGCAAATGCCTTTTAACCAAGTTTTTGCCAATTCAAAAGCTTTTTTTGGAGCTAAAGTAAGCCCTGGCATCTTGACAAGCCTTAAAATATCAAATTTGATTAATACTACACCCTAATTAGTAGTTCCAATATAAAGTAGTACTAATCAAATTTGATATTTTAAGGCTTGTCAAGATACCAGGGCTTAGTTTAGCTCAAAAAAAGCTTTTGAATTCGTAAAAACTGGGTTAAAAAGGCGTTTGCGTGGTGTTGCGAGAAAAGTTTAGAGGATTTTTTCACCCTTACATACCAAAATTAGGCAGCTAGCTTTTACATATTCTGAATCAGAAAAATTTTGCGATTTTTTTGATATGTCTCTCGACCTGTAACGCCATACCCCATAGAAGTACTTTCCTTGTGAAAAAAGAGCGCATCTTTTTGTGAAGGCCCTTCTAAACGGAGTTTTTTCACTTGGAGAGGGAGGCATTTTGCCACATTTTTTGATACTTCCCGGATCCAAAATGGTACGTTTTTTGCCCCTGGATCAGCTCCGTCACTGTGTTTTAGGCCAAAATTCCAAATTACAAACTAGGAATTTTGCCCTAAAATCTGAAATTTTATGCTAATTTTTCGGAATAGATTATTACAGTTAGAGTAGAATGGCAGTGTCCAGTGTAAGGTAGACTTTGAGCAACATGCGGGTTTCGAAGTTTTGAGTTTGGCAGCAAAAAGTGTTAGTCGATCTGCTTCAACGACGATATCCGTCGCGCCAACAGGCAGAATCTGGAGAAGGGCGCGCCCAGCTTGACTAGCTCGTCCACGGCAAGCCCCCACAGCTCGGTTGGCGCCTGTAGAAGACGGTATTTCTGAAAATTTCGAGTTTAAACTTTGGTGGTTCAGAAAGAATTGCACTGTGCAATTTTATGGTTGAAAAAAGCCTGCGTTTTTGCACTGTGCAGTTTTATAGTTGAAAAAAAAGCCTACGTTTTTGCACTGTGCAATTTTATAGTTGAAAACAGCCTAGGTTTTTGCACGGTGCAGTTTCGTAAAAGCGATTTTTTAGTGGAAAATGGTCCCTAAAGAAAAAATAAATTCTTGGCCAAATTTTTTTCGATAAAACTTTAGTGGTTCAGATAAAAATAACCGTTGAAATAGCCAAAAATATTGATATATCTTGCAGCCCTGCGTTTTTAAAAAATCGCGAAATTGATTGAAAAAAGCCTACATTTTCGCACAGTGCAAAAACGTAGGCTTTTTTCAACTATAATTTTGCACTGTGCAATTTCGTAGTGTAAATTAGCCTACGTTTTTGCACAGTGCAATTTCGTAGTTGAAAAAAGCCTACGATTCTGCACTGTGCAATTTGGTAGTTGAAAAAAACCTACGTTGTTGCACTGTGCAACAGCTTTTTTGTTTTTATCCGTTCTAGAGGCTGTTTAGCTACTTTTCAGACAAAAAAATCCATATTTTTGGCCTATATTATCCATGAGGTACCACCAAAACCAAAACTCACCGAATTGTCAGCATTTTCGTTGCGAAAAATGAGGTGATGATTGGCGTTGATACAATTGATATGTTCGTCGGCATCTATACTCAACACTTTGTAGCGGAATGTGGATTCTCGTTCGATTCGCTGAAAGTCGAAATTTTTAGTGGAGACGATGACCGTACACTCGAAAATTGGGGTGGTTATAGGTAATACAATGGGAAAAAGTTGTGTTATACTTGTTCTAAGGCCTATAAAATGTATTACTGTCAATTCTGGAGTACAGAAAAAAAGGTTTTTTCGTGGAAATCGGGCCGAAAGAGAAAAATTAAATTCTTAGCCAAATTTTGGCAGTTTAAAGGCAAATTTGCCCTCAGGGCAATAAAATATTTTTTCAAAAAGACGTTACATTTATTTCTGATGGTGGTTAGAGTTGTTTGAGATACTAAATGGCGATGTAAGATCTTTAAAATTTCGGTTTTTACCTTGATTTAGGCCGAGAAGTCCGAAAATTTTTCAAATCCCTATAACTTATTAAAACAAGTGTGGTTGGTGATCACTGTAATTTTTCTAGAATCTATAGGCCCTATACGTTCACAAAACATTAGGTTTACAAGTCGTTTTTACCTACCTGTCTCACGGCAGTCGCTTCTTTCGACTTGCCCATGGATAACACCCCACTTGCGGCGACCGCCACGAAATGCTTCAACGGCGGGCTGTCCTTGGCCAACTGGATCGGAATCACCGGCAAATCGGGCCAGGTTCTCGCCACCACCACGCCGCCCTCCATATTCGTCCCGTGTTTTCGGATACCGACGAAAATCTCCTTGCCCGTAAACACCACGTCCGATCCCTCGAGGAAAACCTCTTGTTTCCCCTCTTTCTCGGGCGTCTCCACGATTTGCCAGACAATGTCGCGCAGATAGGACTGCACTTCCGCCGTACGCGAGTGCTTCTTTTTCGGGCGACAAATCAACGCGATTCCATTGATAATTACGGCGGTGTCGTCGAGGTACAGGTTGTGCAGGGGCGTGTTTTCTTCGGGCTCTAGCTCGAGCACTTCGATTCCGGCCTGGAAATGGGATATTTTGGATTTTTAGACTGATGAAATTTTGAGAAAAAAAATTTTCGCACTGTGCGAAAATGTAGGGTTTTTTCAACTATAATTTTGCACTGTGCAGTTTCGTAGTGCAAATTAGCCTACGTTTTCACACAGTGCAATCTCGCAGTTGAAAAAAGCCTATGATTTTGCACTGTGCAGTCTCGTAATGGAAATAAGCCTAGGTTTTTGCACTGTGCAAAATGTTATCTAAAATACTGAAATGGGATTTTTTTTGCACTTTTAGACCAAGGAAGAAATTTTCAAAAAAAAAATTTTTTGCACTGTGCGAAAATGTAGGCTTTTTCAACTATAATTTCGCACTGTGCAGTTTCATAGTGCAAATTAGCCTACGTTTTTGCACTGTGCAGTTTCATAGTGCGAATTAGCCTATGTTTTTGCACTGTGCAATTTTTTAGTGGAAAAAAGCTTACGTTTTGGCAGTATGCAAAATGTTATCAAGAATACTGAAATGGGATTTTTTTGAGTCTTTAGACCGAGGAAGAAATTTTCAAAAAAAAATTCGCACTGTGCAAAAATGTAAGCTTTTTTCGACTATAATTTTGCACTGTGCAGTTTCATAGTGCAAACTAGCCTATGTTTTTGCACTGTGCAAAATGTTACCCAAATTACCGTGGACAGAAAAAATAAAAATGCTGACATAGCTGTTATGATGTCAGCATTTTTTTTATTTTCTTCGTCACTGCTGATAAGACTTTTTGGCCGATTTCCAAGCGATCTTATCTACTCTGCGAGTAGGAAAAAAAATCTAAATTCATAAAAAATATGGGAGATAACTCACCTCTCGTAGTGTTTCATTCAAGTCTTCGATCTGTTTCCGAGCCTTCTCCAGGTCAACTTTACCGGCAGCTTTTTTGTTTTCGAATTTTAGCTGCTGCGGAATCCGAGCCACAATCGCATGCGTATACCGCATGGTGCTGAAATTGAAATTTTTATGGTGATTTTGAGAGAATTCGAGCAAAAATTTGTATTAGCACGTTGTTTACGACGAAATATTTTTTTCTTTTTTTGCACGGTGCGAAAAAAGAAAAAGAAAAAATTCGCACAGTGCGATGACAAAAGGCTACTGAAATGTTTTTTTTTTGCACTGTGCGGAAAAATGTATTGCGTTTTTTGCACGGTGCAAAAGATGTCGTACTTTCTGCACGGTGCAAAAAGATATCGCACTTTTTGCACAGTGCAAAAAATTTATCGCGCTTTTCGCACAGTGCAAAAGAATATCGCACATTTCGCACGGTGCAAAAACAATTATCGCTTTTCTTGCACAGTGCAAAAACAAAACGCGACTGAAATGTTTTTTTGCACCTTGCGGAAAAATGTCGCACTTCTCGCACGGTGCAAAAACAAATATCGCGCTTTTGGCACGGTGCAAAAAGATATCGCACGTTCTGCACGGTGCAAAAAAAATGGTTTTAAATTTTGCACAGGGCAAAAAAATTTATCGCACTTTTCGCACGGTGCAAGAAAATATCGCACATTCTGCACGGTGCAAAAAATGTCGCACTTTTCGCACGGTGCAAAAAAATATCGTACATTTCGCACGGTGCAAAAAATTTTTTTTTTTTTAATTTTGCACTGCAAAAACAAAACGCGACTGCAATATTTTGTGCGATATTTTCTTGCACGGTGCAAAAATACGATAATGTTTTTTGCACCGTGCAAGAAAATATCGCACTTTTTGCACGGTGCAAAAGTTTAAATTTCCGCACAGTGCATCAAATTAAGCAAAAAAGGAAAAATTGCACTGTGCAAAATTTTTTTCGACTCAAAAAAATATTCTCGCACTGTGCGAACACTAAAAAATTCACCTACATTTCGCGGAATGGCACCTTTATGGTCTGTTTGGGGAACATGTCCGGCTCATTCACCACGTATTTTCCCATGAGTTTGATAAGAAACTCGTACAAAAAAAGTGTTTCAGAGGTCTGGGGTAATACGTTGATTAAACAAGACATGTTTACCCTGGGATTAGGTGGGAAAAGAAGTATTTTTTGAGGGTTTTGAGATATTTTTTGGGTAAATTAAAAGGCAAAATGGGTAAAATATAGTGAAATAGTCATGGATAATATAAAAAAATCAAAAAATTTTATTTAAAATCAAAAATTTTTTTTTCAAAGTTCAAAAAATGCAATTTTCAACTTTTTTGCCTGAGGCATTTTACCAAAAAATCCTATAATTCACCTTCAATAATCTTGATCTCCCAATTTCCACCCAAAAAAATCAACTTTTCCCCAATTTCCCCTCAGGCAATATATCAAAAAATCCCCCAAAACCCTCGAGAAAATATATACAACTTCGTAGGATCAGCCTTAATTTTCATTCCGCAAATTTTTTCAAAACAACCGATCAAGAAAAGGCGGAATTTTTTCTCTCTCCTCTGGAAAAACATGAGCCAGCATGCCCCCCACCAAAAAGTTTGGAAAGCCCCCCATTTCCCCGCCGCTTTTCCGGCCTGTTGAATCGACGCGCCGAACGGAGAAAATACGAGCCCAAAACATAAAAGTTTTAATGGAATCTCAGTTTGCGTTGCAGCAGATGTGGGTGAGAAGGAAGGGAGGGTGGCTAGTTTGGAAATTGGAATGAATGGTCAATCCAGGCTGTATTGGAATCACTTTTGGTCGAAAAAAGAGAAAATTTTGGAGTTCCAAACTTATCGCACAGTGCAAATTTTTAGTGTAAAAAAGCTTAGGTTTTTGCACAGTGCAATTTTCTAATTGAAAAAAGCCTACGATTTTGCACTGTGCAAAAATTTAGTTGAAAAAAGCCTATAATTTTGCACAGTGCAATTTTATAATTGAAAAAAGCCTGCGATTTTGCACAGTGCGGTTTCCTTATGGAGAAAAGTCTATAATTTTGCGCAGTGCGAAATTTTAGTTTAAAAAAGCCTATGATTTTGCACTGTGCAATTTTTTATTGAAGGGTGGCTAGTTTGGAAATTGGAATGAATGGTCAATCCAGGCTGCATTGGAATGACTTTTGGTCGAAAAAGAGAAAATTTTGGAGTTTCAAACTTATCGCACAGTGCAAATTTTTAGTGTAAAAAAGCTTAGGTTTTTGCACAGTGCAATTTTTTATTGGAGGGTGGCTAGTTTGGAAATTGGAATGAATGGTCAATCCAGGCTGTATTGGAATGATTTTTTGTCGAAAAAAAAGAAAATATCGGGGTTTCAAAGTTTTCGCACTGTGCAAATTTTTAGTCGAAAAAAGCCTATAATTTTGCACTGTGCAATTTTCTAACTGAAAAAAGCCTAAGATTTTGCACAGTGCAAAATTTTAGTTGAAAAAAGCCTATAATTTTGCATAGTGCAGTTTCCTTATGGAGAAAAGTCTACGATTTTGCACTGTGCAAATTTTTAGTTTAAAAAAGCCTATAATTTTGCACCGTGCGAAAGTTTAGTTGAAAAAATCCTATGATTTTACACGGTGCAGTTTTATAATTGAGAAAAGCCTATAATTTTGCACTGTGCAATTCTTTAGCAGCTGCCTTAGGCAAGAATCCTAAATTTTTTACGCAAAACTTTTTTACGGCAAATCTTCAAAAAAATGTTTTGCACAGTGCAAAATTTTAGTTGAAAAAAGCCTCAAATTTTTGCACTGTGCAATTTTCTTATTGAAAAAAGCCTCAAATTTTGCACTGTGCGAAACAAAAAAATTATGTTTAAATAAAAAAAACAAATAAAATTTTGCATTTACATCCAAATACAATCCTTGTTTCATCTTGGAAAAGCCGCTTTGACCCCTTTCTTTTTTCTATAAACGCGTTTTTCACCGCAAGTCATGGATAATATAATACAATCGTTGGGCGCTCGAGTGTTCCTTTCCCACACTTTCTCAGTTGTTCGCAGAAAAACAGCCACTTTTTGAAGGCGTGAAGAACTCTGACTTGCGAAATAAGGCAATTTAAAATGACCAAAGCTTGTTTTGAAAATGATTGTTTATAAAAACATTGGAAATTGATCAATTTTAGGCCTGTTTCAAGTTGAAAATTGGTGAAATGTGGACAAAAATTTTCTTTTTTAACCATAACTCAGCTTTTAATTGGTGAAAATCGAACGAGTGTAGCTGAAAAAGCGGTTTTCTCTGACCGTCTCTCACTTTCCATGGTCTCTCATAAAAATCTTCAATATCTCGGGCGTAAATAAATGGCAAGGGCTAAAATTTTCAATGAATAATCTATCATCTATAGAGAATATATGAGCAAAATTTGAGGAAAATCCGACGGTAACTTTTTGAGATTTTTTTATTTGAATTTTAACGGTAAAAAAGAAAAATTTTATCAAAAAATCTCATTTTTTTCGCTTTTTGATGCCAATTTAAGGCTTGAAACAATATAAAAATAGAATAAAAATGAATTTTAACTCAAAAAAAGCCTTTTAAAATTCCCAAAAAGCTCGAAAAGCGGCAAAAATTTCAAAAAATCTTACAATTTCCCCCAAAAACTTACGATTTCCCCCAAAAACTCCCTCAAAAACGCCTCAAGCATGGCGTCCCCGTCGAGCATAACACTTTACAAAGAGCCTCCTACAATTCCTCGCGACGAGAAGGGCACGAAAAATTAACTAGCATAGGGCGACCCCTTTTTTCTCTCGCTCCTCCGCCCGCCCTCTCTCGCTTCGCCGCGCTCTCTTTGCGCGCCGCCGATTTTCTGCGATTCATTAGCAAATGCCGCGAAAAATTGGGGAAAGAGAGGGCGGAAATAATCGAATATGAGCCGAAACGGATGAATGACCGGATAATGGCAGGGTGTATAATATAAAATTTATTCGAAATTCGGAATGGATGGCGAGAAAATAAAAAAAAATGTAATTTATGAGGCTCGAAAAGCTATCTACAAACATTTTTGAGGTCAAATGGAATAAAAATTTTTTTATTTAAATTAACAAAAAAAAATTTGATTTTAAAATAAAAATAAGACACTGCATGACTTCTAAATCACATAAAACAATTTTCAACCGATTTCTAAAATTTTTCTCTGACCGTCTCTCCTCATTTTCAACAGTCTCCCGGCCTCAAAAAATCACTCAATATCTCGGCTGAAAATAAAAAGCTTAAATTAAAATTTTCAGCAATTGATACGACGCCTATAAACATTGCTCATGCAAAATTTCAGGCAGATTGGACCATCTCACTTGGAGTTATTCACCTTTCAGCAAATATCATCGCCTTTAAAACAAAAAATTCTTTACACCTCTAAATCTTTGTCCATATTGGAAATAGTTATTCATTTCTAAAAAAACGCAAAGCCTAAGCTCAGAATCTTTATAAAAACTCACACACCGCGAAAAGTTGGCAGTAATCTGACACTTTCTTTGTATTTATATACTCAAGTGTAATATTATATCGAGAGGCGGTTCTCCGTCAACTTTATGACATCCAATCTTCTGCGAAAAGAAAAGAAATGGTCTTACATGGACTACAAAGTGTTTTACAGGCGTTTTATAACGTAATTTGTGAGATATCAGCAAAAATTTCGAGTTTTTCACAGTTGATATCAAGTGTAATATAACAAGAAGTTCAAAATGGAGTGAAGCAATGCGAAATCATTTAAATTAGCGTAAAAATGCTTAAAAATACATACCAAGCAATTTACAAACACTTATTACTATTTAAAAACGTCCAATACCACCCGTGACACTTCGCAACAATATCAACGCAACGAAATGTCACAAAAATAAAATAAATTTCCGGATTTTTTTCAAACGTGGAGATCTTCCTTTACAAGGCGAGAAGAACTCTCAGCCCCTTGAACAATCGTATTATCTTCGTAATTCGGGACTTGTTCTCTTTTATTTTTCGCGATATTCCCCATCCCACCTTGCACATCGCCTTTTTCGGGCAAAACTCCAACATAAACCGTGGGAAACGCGCCTTGTTTCCGAATGATTTCGAGCTCCACGTCCTGGAGCACAAATACAAATCAATTTGGAGTTTGTTTTGAGGCTCAAGGGCTTGTGTTTTATTATTTTTGGGCTTTGTCGGCGGCCCAAACGAGGTTTCTTGCATTTTTGAGGGCTGGCTCGTCGGAATTGCTCCTTCAAAGGATTTAGTCCCGTTGTTTTCGAGAGTCTTCTTGTTTACGACAATTCTGTAGCAAGGTGAATCGGAATTTGAGCGCTTACACAACAATTTTTATTATTTTTCCGGGAGCCGCCTAGTGTAATATAAAAATCGTGGGATTGATAGAAAATTCTTTGTAAAACACGCAGAACCTGTTGCGCAACGTTTCTCCAGAGCCTTCTGAAGCTTTTCAGCGCATGTGTTGCCCATATTTCTTTCATTTTCTTTGGATTTCATCAGGTTTTGCCTAAAGTAATATCAAGTATAATATTGCTCCAAAAAATTGGTCTGTTTGATGTTTCACGCGACACAATTGGCCGTGTTTTTCTTTGGAGCTCATCTCACGAAGATTTGTTTGTTCTGCAGGAATATGAATGCTCGTTTTTATGGGAATTTCGCCTCAGGGAAATACGAGGTCGTTTCTTTTCTTCCAAATGAGTTCGTATGTTTCTACTAGCGACAGTTTAGCGATTCTGGCGTTGTTTGAGACGTCTTTGTAGTGGTCCAAGTTTCTTGAGTTTGAATTCGTCGTCAGACTCCTCGATTTTCACCTTAGTTTACCCCAATTTTTGACCTGGTCATGGTGAATATCCGAAATCTTTGATAGGCCAATTTCTTGTTTCGAAACTCGTCTTATTTGATTCGAGGTTCTCTGAAATGTTGTTTTCACAGCGCAGTTCACTTGTTTGATCGTTATTCCTCCCATTATTAGCATCATGTTGTAGTAGAGAGAGGTTTCATATTGCTGTCTGAACAAATCGACCTTGGTCTTTGGGAGTGAGAAGGGCATCTTATTGACATTTGCGGTTGGCTGATCATGTGAATTGCTCGGGGATATCGAATTTTGCCGGTTATAACGGGTTTTTGGCTAGTATAATATAAGGCTCATTCCGGCTAATTTTTAAGTAAAGATAACGATTTTTTCAAGCGAATAGAACATATTTGTCCTAATTCGGTCATTTTTATGGTTCTTTCGGCAGTAAGGCTTGTTTTTTCAACTTTTCGGAGATTTTTTATCTTGCACTAGACGAAATTTGATGTTTTATGCCAAAAAAAGTAATTTGAAAGGTTATAATCAATTTCAAGGGCTGTAATGGAATCTTAGTGAGCTTTCTAGGGTTTCATACTGCATTTGGATCTTCTCTTTTGGCATTTATTATATTACACTAGGGGAAAATTGTCGTTTTTAGCCTAAAATTTGTTGTTCTTGTGATTTTTGTGCTAAAAAACGTAGTTTTATTTTTTATGTGTCACTGTATGAAATGTGACACATAAAATGCATATCAATTAAAATTATAATTGCCTCTCAATCGAGCCTCACGGCCCAATAACAGAGACGGGGAATCGGTGTCAAGCATTTGTTTTTGATCAAAAAATGGGATAAACCAAAATTGTTTATCCCAGGGAGACCGATTGATGGGAGATTTGGCCCCGACTCGTTTCTAAATTTGTTTATCTTTTATTTACACGCTTAGCGGGAGCAGTCTGAGTATGGAGCGGTCATTGTGGATGAGAGATTATTGAGAATGATGAGAGGCGGTAATAACAAAAGGGGAGACAAATGGGAGAAACAACTAAAAACACTAATTTTCCGTATATTGGTATCAGTGAGAGGGTGCACTCTGAATTCTTCGATAAAGCTGTGGGAATTGCGGGCTACGTGGCCAAAGAAGAGTCAAAGCATTACAACGAAGGGCATTTCTGGCATTTTAAATTTGAGAGATTATTGAGAATGATGAGAGACGGTCAGAGAAAATGCGAATTTTTATGGCTAAAATTGGGGCTTCATGGAAATTGGACAGAGTGAAACTCGGCGGAAATAAATTGGACAGAGTGTGGAAATCGGACAGAGTGAAATTGGACAGATTTTTTTCACTGAAATCATACGAAATGTAATTATTTGATTATTTTTTGCAGTGGAAAAAATCTGTCCAATTTCCCTCTGTCTAATCTCCACACTCCGTCCAGTTTATTTCTGTCGAGTTTCACTCTATCCAATTTCCATGAAGCCCAATTTTGGACATAAAAATTCGCATTTTCTCTGACCGTCTCTCATCATTCTCAATAGTCTCTCAAACAGAAAATGCCAGAAATTCCCTTCCTTGTAATGCTTTGACTCTTCTTTGGTCACGTAGCACCAATTCCCACAGCTTTATCGAAGAATTCGAAATGCACCCTCTCACTGATAACAACATACGGAAAATTAGTGTTTTTAGTTGTTTCTCCCACTTGTTTCCCCTTTTTGTTATTTCGAGTGACGATATAGGGCTTGTTGAGCAGTGGACTGGAATGTTTTGCCTGAATTGACAAATTGTAATACCATTTTTATCAAGAATATTATACTTGATGGGTCAGGTATAATATTCTTGATGAAAATGGGCAAAAATGATCGAGTACTAAAAAAATCTGGGTAAATATAGTGGTATCGGAGAATTTACTGTCTTATTTGAAAGTTTGAATGTTATAGATATACAATTTACAACCGAAATTATCAGGTCTTGTCAAATAATGACATTTTCTTGCAAGATAAGGAAAAACTATGTCGTTTTGTTGAGTTTTTCTGCGTCTTTTGGTTGGATCTTGATATTCTTGACGGGTTGGGGGGCTCTAAGATGTTGTTAGATGCATTTAGGATCTTTATTGGTTAGAAAATTATCCTTTTCATCTAGCATAAGGTCAAAATTGATGATTTTTTGCCAATTATGGTATTTTTACTGATGACTACCGATTAAAATCGCTGTTTCTTGGCGTCATAAAGGCGTATCTTGCCTTATCCATAAAATGTCATCAAAAATGGAATGAAATGTTGGATTTTGTATGCATAAAAATCAAAAAATTTGCATGACTTTTGCAAAAAAATCCATCTTTGCCAATTCAACCTTTCAACGATAGAACTGTGTAGGTATCAAAACAACCGCGGGAACTTGGAATAAACCCGTATCATTTTACCACTACCCACCACTTCCGCCTTGTTCCTCTTGTTTTTACATTTTTCGGAGGGTCATTAGACAAGGCTAATAATTTTTTGTGAGAAATTGGCGAAACTAGTTATTTTCGGACTTGGAAACGCCTTTCTTATTAGTTATTTGAGCGTTTCAATAATGAAAATTTCACAGAAATTTTTTTTTGTTTTTGAAATTTTTAGTGCAGAAAGATCTTGCTAAAAATCTCGGAGATGCCTTCGAGACGTCAAATTTGTCCCAGGTTTCGTTAAAATCCCAAAAAAATCAACAATTTTCCACCCTGCATAGTGCAGACCATTTTTTTGGGCTTCATGGAGATTGGGCAGAGTGAAACTCGAGAGAAATAAATTGGACAGTGTGGAAATTGGACAGGGGGAAATTGGACAGACTTTTTTCACTGTAAAAAGAAATAGTGACATTTCTTACGATTGCAGTGAAAAAAATCTGTCCAATTTCCCTCTCTCCAATTTCCGCACACTGTCCGATTTGTTTCTGTCGAGTTTCACCCTGTGCAATTTCCATGAAGCCCAAAAATGGTTCTGCATTATGCAAAGTGAGAAAATTGCTGATTTTTTTGGATTTTAATGAAACTTGGGGCAAATTTGACGTCTCGAAGGCATCTCCGCGATTTCGAGCAAGATCTTTCTGCACTAAAAATTTTAAAAACAAAAAAAAATTTCTGTGAAATTTTCATTATTGAAACCCTCAAATAACTCAAAAGAAAGGCGTTTCCAAGTCCGAAAATAACTAGTTTCGCCAATTTCTCACAAAAAATTATTAGCTTTGTCTAATGACCCTCCAAAAAATGTAAAAATAAGAGGAACAAGGCGGAAGTGGTGGGTAGTGGTAAAATGATACGGGTTTATTCCAAGTTCCCGCGGTTGTTTTGATACCTACACAGTTCGTATCAAATTTAGCTCGCGTTTTGCAGAATTACCGGGATTTTTTGGGTCGAAAACAGGAAAATTTGACTTTTTTGCTCGAATTTTTTGAGTCAGATTTTTTGAAAAATAAATTTTTGCCAAATTAAAAAAAAATCTGAAAAATTTTTTTGGTTTTTCATTTTGTTTCGTTCAGTTGGGTCTCTAAAATCGCCCGTGCTCAAAGTTTCATCCCGAAATTTGGCATTGGTCATGATGAATTACTCGAAATTCGGGTATTCAAGCCAAGAAATTCATCGTTTTTGGGCCGCGGGTTTTGATGAATGGCTCCTCCGTAGAACTGTTGGATATTCGAGCAGTTTTTAGGGGCTTTTATCCCGTAATTTTTGGTAAATGAAAAAAAAATTTTTGATTTTTTGTTGGAATTTTTTGGAAAAATATTTTTTTTTGCCTAAATTGTTGAAATACCAATTTTTGACCGTGATTTTCTTCGAAACACCGATTTTTCAGATTTTTCAGCCCCTCAAAGAGTAATTCCAGCCTTTTTCAGCCACTCCAAATTCGGCCCAAACTTGGCCACAGCGATGTGGAAGGATGGCTGTGGATGGAACCATCGACGACGAACCACCTTCTTCTGGTTCCGAATAAAGTGCCTTTTCTTGGTGGTGTTGGCCTATCTGGCCGTTGTCCGGATATGCGATGTAATGGTATGAAATTTATTATTTTTTTTTGAAATTTAGAACATGGATAATATAATTTGCAATTTTTTTGTGTAGAACTCGCCGAAAGAAACTGAAGTCCCATTGGATACGGCGAGAAGACAGTTGGCCCTTCCTTCGAGAGTCGGCAGAATCTTGAATAGTGCTGTAAATGGAACGGAGGTAGGTGGAATTTTTATATTTTTTCGTTGATTTTTAGGTAAATTGACGGGTGTAAAATGGATTTATGACTCTGTAATTTATCGCTGTTTGATTTTTAACAGATGAACAAGTGAATTTTTGCGAAATTCAGACATATTTTTACTATAATTTGTCATGGATAATATAATTTTTGATGAAATTTTGCGATTTTTTGATCTAAAATGAAAGGAAATTTCTCGTAGGTGATTTGTGTTGGCTTTAAACGGAGTCAGGGATTTGGTTTCATCAAAAAAAAGTTAATTAAAAAAATTTTTGTCTTCGTGATTTTATTCCCAAACCCGAAAATCAATGTATTCCAGGCGCGAGACCCGATTGCAGTCCTCATATTCTGCGCAACGAGAGCGGCCGCCATCGAAAACCATCTCAGCCAAGTGGTAAAACAACGGCCGTCGCCCGACCTCTTCCCCATTTACGTGAGCCAGGACGGGAACAAGCAAGATGTGGCGGAGGTGGTCCGAAAATACATGCGAGACTTCAAGAACATCCATTTCATCCAACACCAATCCTCATCCGTGGGGCAGAAGGGCAAGGCCTACCACAACATCGCGGCCCACTACAAATGGGCGCTGGACTCGGTGCTGGCCAACTTTTCCGCCGCCATCATCACCGAGGACGACCTGGACATTGCGGAGGACTTTTTCAGCTACTTCGAAGCCACTCGCAAGCTCCTCGACGCCGACCCAACCATATGGTGCATCTCGGCGTGGAACGACAACGGCGGCAATCGACTGGTCGACAATAATAAACCGGATCTACTCTACCGGACCGACTTTTTCCCCGGCCTCGGATGGATGATCAAGGCCAATGTTTGGGAGGAGTTGACCCAAAAATGGCCTGCCGCTTATTGGGACGACTTTATGAGAACCCCGGAAGCAAGGAAGAATCGGGTTTGCATCAGACCCGAGGTCTCCAGAACACGACACAACAATCGGCTGGCCGGAAAAGGCAGTAGCAAGTGAGTGGAGTATTGATTTAGGGGTTTTAACTAGAAAAATCGAAAAATTTTGAGTTTGAAATGGGTTTGTTGAGGTCTTTGATATTGTGTTTTGATATTTTCCCTATCCTTTTTTAGCTTTTTAGAGCTAAAAATTCAGTTTCAGATTTCACTGTGCAAAAATTTAGGCTTTTTTACACTATGAAACTGCACTGTGCAAAAATGTAGGCTTTTTTACACTATGGAACTGCACTGTGCAAAAATGTAGGCTTTTTTGCCCTATGAAATTGCACTGTGCAAAAATCTAGGCTTTTTTACACTATGGAACTGCACTGTGCAAAAATCTAGGCTTTTTTTCCACTATGGAACTGCACTGTGCAAAAATGTAGGCTTTTTTACACTATGAAACTGCACTGTGCAAAAATCTTGGCTTTTTTGAACTAGAAATTGCACTGTGCGAAAATCTAGGCTTTTTTACACTATGGAACTGCACTGTGCAAAAATGTAAGCTTTTTTGCCTTACGAAACTGCACTGTGCAAAAATTTTAAAAATCATTTTCTACCTAATTTTGAGCTCTGCGAATATGACATGACCATAATTTACCCTTTTCAGCGGGCAATACAAGAGTTTTCTGGAGCGAATTGCCGTCCCAAAATCGCCGGTGGACTTTTCGTTGATCGATATGAGCCGTCTGATCCGGTCGAATTATGACCCGGAGTTCCGCTCCAAAATCCTCCAGGCCAAGCCCATCTCCATCGAGGAGTTGCTGTCGGACAACAAGTTGGACCCCCAATTCGCATATCGGATATCATTCAAGGACCCAAGGGAATTTCGAAAATTCGCCAACCCTCTAACCCTGATGAATGATGTCCGAGGAGGACTGATCCGAACAATCTACCAAGGTGTACTGACCTTTGTCCACAAAGGTGCGAGAATTTATGCGGTTATGGCAAGCGTGGACTTGCAAAAACCGTTCGAGGAAAAGGTCCCGGATCGGGATGTGTATGATGTAAAGTGGGACAAAATGAGCCGGTTCCTGGACTTTGAGAGCGTGATCTGCAAAAAGTAAGAGGGAAATTTGGAAAAGTTTGATTTTTTGGAGGAAAAATTTGAAAAAATCGAAAATTTTTGGGGTTTTTGGAGGAAATGGGTTTTTTTCATTTCAAAATGGGAGTTTACGAAAATTTAGAGGGTCTTGATTGAAGGAGTAGACTGTAAAAAAGGTGATTCAAATTGGTGAATACTGTAACATTGATTTTTTGACGGAAATTTAATGGAGATGGATAAAAAAGAAGAAAATTTGTAAAAGTTTGATAAAATTTGGATTTTTTGGTGTGTTTATGAATATAAGGTGATGAGCAATGATCAATAAGGGCAGTATTAGAATGAGGATTGCTGTAACGCAAATTTTCTCGGAGATTCCATCCGAAAAATCATAAAAATCTGGTTTTTGAACTTTTTTTTCGAGTTTTTGTGGTTAATAATCATTTTAATAGGGAGATTAGTAATTTTTTGGGCTTTAGAAAGTACCATGGCTGAGCTTGGAGTATTTTACCTTTTTGGTTTAGAGGAAAATCGTGAAAGTTTGAGGTTTTTCGCAAAAAATCGGCTTCGTGGAAACTGGACAGAGTGAAACTCGACAGAAATAAATTGGACAGGGTGTGAAAACTGGATTGAGAGAAATGGAACAGGAGGAAATTCGACAGATTTTTTTTACTGCAAAAAAATATTTCATTTGTCACATTTCGTACGATTGCAGTGAAAAAATCTGTCGATTTTGCCCTCTATTTCCCTCAATCCAGTTTTCACACCCTGTCCAATTTATTTCTGTCGAGTTTCATTCTGTCCAATTTCCATGAAGCTGATTTTTCGCGAAAAACCTCAAATTTTCACAATTTTCCCCCAAACCAAAAAAGTATAATACTCCAAGCTCAGCCATGCTACTCTCTAAAGCCCCCAAAATTGCTAATCTCCCTATTAAAACACGATTTTTCTAACACTCGAGCGCACCTTTATTGGCCGGCTACACGAAAATTCAAACTGCTTCAAATCCAGCGAAACTTTCAAATCTGTGCCTATGGACAGTTCTAAGAAACTTTCCCGTTAACTTTTTTTGATTACTCACCGTAGCGTGGGTTACTGTAACTTGACCTCAAAATTTATATCTCGGTAACCAGACGTCGTAGAAGGACGGGACCTTCACCATTATGTTCCTCATGCAAAATAACGTGTTTTTGGTTGTTACACCCGGATATGAAAATTATCGGAAGGGTTCCAAAATTTGAATATTCATGCGCTGAACAATAAATCTTCAATTTTCTCGAAAACTGGTTATTATTTTAGCGCTTTTTTATTGCATATTCTGAAAGCAGAGCTTTTTCTGAATCGAATGCATATAAGGATTGCTCACAAAGCCGGAGAATTTGGGGGGTAACCGGCCGCCGGAAGTTGGCGTACTCCGTTCGAGATCTAAGAAAACGGTCTAAAATCGCAGCAAATTGGACAATTTTTGAATTTCTTTTTTTATCCAGTTAACTCTAGGGCTTTTTTAGTCCTCATAGACAAAAAGTCATCAACAAATTTATGTTGAAAAGCCCGTTTTAAAAAAATTTGCATATTTTCGCGCAGTTCTTAAAATTTGTAAATATCTCAAATATTTCCAATGTTATACCCATTATTATCATTGTACAATACATTAGGCAATGTGAGAATCCAACTTTAACTATACGTGTCGCAATTTGAACACCATGTTTTGCGCAGGAAGGCGCTATCTATATGAACACGTAGTGAAAACTGTTATCTCTTGTTTTTCTCGTGAAATTATGCTAATTTTAGCACTTTTTTATTGCATTTTCAAAAAGTACAGTGTATCCTGATTCGAATGCGTTCAAGTATGTTACAAGTCGATGGAGATTTGAGTGAAAACGGAGCTGCTGCTACAGTTCACATGCAAGTTTATGACCCCATTTTAAATCAACAATGAAAAAGATAATAGTACGCGATTATTACACAAGGGTTATATCAGTGACGATGACATCTTTCGTCCCATCGTTTTCTAAAATTTCGTCTATAATTTCCTCAAAGTGAGTCGGAAAAATTGGCTCATTCTACAGGAATTTGGCTCTCGTCCACATCTTCAGTGTCTTCCTGAATGTCTCTACGGAACCTAGGGGACGGCTCACTAGCCTTTGGCTCTTGTGTAGGCCACTGTTTAGCAAACTTCGTAAAGAATAAGCGATTTGCTGCCAATTGAGAAACTGAGGTTATAAGAACTTTGGCAGCTCCGTTTTCACTCAAATCTCCATCGACTTGTAGCATACTTGAACGCATTCGAATCAGGATACACCGTACTTTTTGAAAATGTAATAAAAAAGTGCTAAAATTAGCATAATTTGACGAGAAAACAAGAGATAACAGTTTTCACTACGTGTTGATATAGATAGCGCCTTCCTGCGCAAAACGTGGTGTTCAAATTGCGACACGTATAGTTAAAGTTGGATTCTCACATTGCCTAATGTATTGTACAATGATAATAATGGGTATAACATTGGAAATATTTGAGATATTTACAAATTTTAAGAACTGCGCGAAAATATGCAAATTTTTTTAAGACGGGGTTTTCAACATAAATTTGTTGATGACTTTTTGTCTATGAGGACTAAAAAAGCCCTAGAGTTAACTGGAAAAAAAAAGAAATTCAAAAATTGTCCAATTTGCTGCGATTTTAGACCGTTTTCTTAGATCTCGAACGGAGTACGCCAACTTCCGGCGGCCGGTTACCCCCAAATTCTCCGGCTTTGTGAGCAATCCTTATATGCATTCGATTCAGAAAAAGCTCTGCTTTCAGAATATGCAATAAAAAAGCGCTAAAATAATAACCAGTTTTCGAGAAAATTGAAGATTTATTGTTCGGCGCATGAATATTCAAATTTTTGGAACCCTTCCGATAATTTTCATATCCGGGTGTAACAACCAAAAACACGTTATTTTGCATGAGGAACATAATGGTGAAGGTGCCGTCCTTCTACGACGTCTGGTTACCGAGATATAAATTTTGAGGTCAAGTTACAGTAACCCGGACTACGGTGAGTAATCAAAAAAAGTTAACGGGAAAGTTTCTTAGAACTGTCCATAGGCACAGATTTGAAAGTTTCGCTGGATTTGAAGCAGTTTGAATTTTCGTGTAGCCAAGGCTCTCGACTCATAGAAAAATCGTGTTTTAAAATGATTATTAACCACAAAAACTCGAAAAAAGTTCAAAAACCACATTTTTATGATTTTTCGGATGAAATCTCCGAGAAAATTTGCGTTACAGTAATCCTCATTCCAATACTGTCCTTATGGATCATTGCCTATCACCTTATATTCATAAACACATCAAAAAATCCAAATTTTACCAAACTTTTACAAATTTTCTTCTTTTTTTGTCCATCTTCATTAAACTTCCATCAAAAAATCGATGTTACAGTATTCTCCAAGTTGAATCACCTTTTTTACAGTCTACTCCTTCAATCATGACCTACTAAATTTCCTAAATCGAATCATAGTTACCGTATTTTTCCCATAACAATACAATTTTTCCAGGTATTCCGGTAAATGTGACCCATATTCCGCCGAAATGATCGAATGGATCAAGAAGAAACATTGGACCAAAAAAGTCGCCAACTACGGTGAAATGATCGTATTTTAGAAGCGAAAGTATTTACAGATATTTTAACTCCAAGTGTCTTACAATACGGGTATAATTCGGTTTCTTTTGTTATGCTAATTGTGAATATGAATATTCTAATATTGATTTTTTATATTATATAGTCTAAACTACGAAAACAGGTATTAAATAAAGCACTTTATTGAGTTCGGAATTATTTTTGAACTGTCAATTTTTATAGTTAGAACCACCTACAGTGGGGACCTGATCCAGTGGCAAAAAACATACCATTTTGCATCCAGGAAGCATCAAAAATGTGGCAAAATACCTCCCTCTCCAAGTGAAAAAAACTTGTTTTTGAAGGGCGCGCTTTTGAAATCGGAGTTTTTTCACTTGGAGAGGGAAGCATTTTGCCACATTTTTGATACTTCCCGGTGCAAAATGGTAGGTTTTTTGCCACCGGATCAGGTCCCCCACTGTAGAATCACCTAAATCAGGATCCCGGAATCCGGCCAAGACAGTGCTACTGCCCTTTCCGACCAACCGAAGGACAATAGCAAAACACCATATCAAAGACCTCTAACCTACTTCGAACTCAAAATTTTTCAATTTTTCTAGTTAAAACCCCTAAATCAATATCCCACTCACTTGCTACTGCCTTTTCCGGCCAGCCGATTGTTGTGTCGTGTTCTGGAGACCTCGGGTCTGATGCAAACCCGATTCTTCCTTGCTTCCGGGGTTCTCATAAAGTCGTCCCAATAAGCGGCAGGCCATTTCTGGGTCAACTCCTCCCAAACATTGGCCTTGATCATCCATCCGAGGCCGGGGAAAAAGTCGGTCCGGTAGAGGAGGTCCGGTTTATTGTTGTCGACCAGTCGATTGCCGCCGTTGTCGTTCCACGCCGAGATGCACCATATGGTTGGGTCGGCGTCGAGGAGCTTGCGAGTGGCTTCGAAGTAGCTGAAAAAGTCCTCCGCAATGTCCAGGTCGTCCTCGGTGATGATGGCGGCGGAAAAGTTGGCCAGCACCGAGTCCAGCGCCCATTTGTAGTGGGCCGCGATGTTGTGGTAGGCCTTGCCCTTCTGCCCCACGGATGAGGATTGGTGTTGGATGAAGTGGATGTTCTTGAAGTCTCGCATGTATTTTCGGACCACCTCCGCCACATCTTGTTTGTTTCCGTCCTGGCTCACGTAAATGGGGAAGAGGTCGGGCGACGGCCGTTGTATTTTTGCCGGGCCAGTAAAATTTAGTAAAAGATATTATCCATGAGGGCCATTTATCATCATTTTATTCAAAAATAAATTCTAAATTTTATATGTTTTATTAGCGCACAACAAAGAAAGAGTGAAAATCAGTAATTTTCAAGCTCCTTTCTCCCATTTATCATCCTTTTGTAGCCCTGAGTTGGCTCATAATTCGATCCATAAATGACGAGTGATTCCCACTTTGTTCCTGTCACTTCACATTCAATATAAAGCCATCCAAATCTCGCGAAAACAAGCTGGAAGAAAGCCGGGGGCAGGAATCGCGGGCTATCTGATTAAATCTCCATAAACTCGGCGCACCTTTCTCTCGGGAAAACAGTTTAAGGTTGCGTTCGAAGTGCGGGGCTAAAGTCGATTCTCTCGGGATTGTCTCAAAGCAATTTCTCAGCCATTTTGTCGGGATTTTGGATGATTTTTTGTGGGAAAATTGAATATAAATAATATTTTTTGGGGTTTTTTTTTGAGAGAAGATTGGATTGTTCCATTATCAATTTTTTGCGGTCTGATTTCCCAATTTTTGCGGGAATTTGCATATCCAAATAATTTTTTTTGAATTTTTTGATTTTTTTTTAATTTGAATATTCAAATTTTTTTCGTCTCAAATGAATTATAATGAATTATAATGTATTAAAAATGGTTTTTATGGGAATTTGATTACAAATTTTTTATTTGCATAATCAATTTATTTTTTTCAATTTTTTTTAATTTTTGAAATTTGAATATTCAGAATTTTTCTCATCTCTAAAACTATAAAAAAATGGTTTTTAGGTTGACTTCGCTATTTTTTCTTTTCATTTTTGATTATTTTCTTAATTCCAATACTCTAAATTTAATTTTTGATTTTTTAAAAATTTTTTAAAATTTGAATATTCAAATTTTCTGGTCTCAAAAACAATATAAAAACTGGTTTTTAGCATAATTCCACTATTAAAACCGTCTCTTTGATAAATTTTTGATTATTTTTTGAATATTCAAATATTTTTTTTGTTTTTTAAATTTGAATATAGTGGTTCAAAGGTCCTCCTGATAGAAGTTCACGGATTCCCCAGAAGTCACACCAAATCCCAAGTATCCCAGCGGAACTATCCAAAGGAATAAAAGAACGCCAATAATAAATATAAAACCCGTTTATCCAGAGGAAGGGTCGATACAATCACGTAAATATCAAAATAGGTAAAACCAAAGTGCCGGCTGGCGGAACTATCCTTGCCAGCCGTTCGTCAATCTGTCCTATTGTCCGAATCCAACCGACCGCCACTCGGTTCTCTGGATCCTTCACTCCTGACTGAATTCCATTCTCTCACGTTCCTTGACTTTCCAACGGTGCGTTAGGTTTCGCGGCGGGACCCAGCCCGGGGTTCGGTACGGTCCTGCACCATTCGCCCCCTAACCAAGTTGGCATCGTCCCCGATGTCAGTGAAGTCGATGCGCCGTTGGGGATGTTGATTGGTTTCTCCTGGGGCTTGTCCGATCTGGTTTGGTATTGGTGAATGTAGTCGAAGTCTGAAATTAAAAGTGATTACAAGTGAATAAAAGTCCCTAAAAATCCCTAAAATATCCTAAATAACCCCCAAGCTCCCCCCTAAACATCTGAAGTCGTCCTCGACTTCAAAAAGTAAGTTCCGGGTTTTCAGGATATTTTATGGGATCCTGAAACTTATTTAAAAATGAAATACGAGTTGATGTTTTACCGGAACAAAATAAGTAAATAGTGAATTTACGAATCAAAAATTGAAATACCTTTAAAATTATACAAGATACTACAACAAAATACGGTATTTCCATACTAAAATAGCAATTTACGGTCAAGTTAGCCGCACGGACGACGTAAATCTCCGAACATTTAAATTTGGTTCCCTTTCCTTCGATTCGCGAGGAATACGACCATTCTATCGAGTTGTTCTTGTCGAAATCACCCTTGAAACTGTGATTTTCTTCCAAGAACTTAAATTTGCAGCCTTTACCAGGGAGAAATGACTTCAGAAACACATTATCATATAGGCAATTACCAGGAATTTGAATATTTTGATTGACTCTTGGCACAATTTTTGCGAAAAGTTGATTTCTCTTCTCAAAACTCTCGAAAGTATCTTCCTTCGGGATGTCAACATTGACTTTCGGGTCTTTGATCTCAAGGGCAGTAGTACTAAACCATTTTTCGTAGACGGAATTGTCCAGGATCTCTTCAAAACTCGGAATTATCCCCTTCTTCTCGTGTTTCCAACTCATAAACGCGGATTTTGACAACTCCGATGTGTAGCCTGTCTGTTGGTGGACTTTTGAGGCTAGATGTGAAATCTCGGGCTCAGCGAATAATGTCTCGAGATCTTCGGATTCGAGTTCATCGTTACGTGTACTCAATTCCTCAAAACTTGAGCATGTAAAAGGTTCCTGACATGATTTCATTTCGGGTTTTTCTCTCAGACTATCAATTTCGTTTATCGTGCAGTTTGCCGTAATTTTAACTTCAGAATTCTCCTGTGGTTCTTGCTCCACTGGACCAGCTGAGATGATTTGCGGAACGATTGAAGATCCTCTATTCGCTTTATAATTTACTCGAGCTGCTAATGCCTTCTCTCTGAGCTGTTTCAAATAATCCTTCCGTTTGTGACAGTCCTTCTCCAAATGTTCTCCTCCATTGCAATACTGACAAAATAATCGCGCTTTAAAACTGCTGATGGATTCACCCGACTCTGGCTTGCGCGAATTTATTGCAGGCCGGGTAGGTGAAAATCCTGATGCTGGTTTGCAATTGGACCTACGTTTTCAACCGTTGGTTGAGGAATTGGTCGATTATTTTGAGACGGACCGTTCCAAAAGGCACTTAGATGCGCTGGAGCATGACTGTTTAAGAAATTCTCAGCTTCAAATGATGGATTTTGCTGGGGTTGATACCAGTTTCCTTTGTTGTATTCATACACATTGGTGGCAATCTTAACCATCTCTTCGAAGGGGTGGTTTTTATGCAATTCCGCGGCGAGTGCGATGCTAGCTTCTCTATGATTTAACCCAGCCATAAATTTCGAGATCATGTGTTTTTCGAGTATATGTTTAGGTGCGCCAGCAAATGCTCTGATAGTGATGTCACTTATCTGATCAGCATATTCCCGAATAGACATATTGTTCCCTCGGATGAAAGGTTTGAGGTAAATCGAAGTCCAGTCTCTGTGATCTGCTGCTCTACTTTTCAGCTCATTCTCGAATTCAGCTAGATTTTGATCAAAGTCGCTACTTTCCGAAGCCATGCTCGTGTGTTCCCACAACCGAGCTGCTTTTCCCGCTACCTTGGCTTCAAGGAGATCCCTCCTTTCTTGCGTGGTGTGATTTACAGTCCCCGCGCGAAATTTGTAGAAAAAACTGACTACTTCGCTTTGTTTCTCTTTCCCCGTCAACGTGGGGAGTCGCATTTCTATGAACATAAGATCGGCAACTGATCCCCCGCTTCTAGTCGGCGGATTCTCTGTGCGCGGCGCAAAAGAAATGTTTTCGCTCTGCGGATGCTTTGTTTCATTTTGCGCTAATAAAGCTTGAACAGATTGAGATAACTCTTCTATTTTCTTTCTATCTTCCTCAGCTTGTTTTTGTACCTCGATCAAGGTCCTATCTGACTTTTCCCTTTGCTCTTTCATGAATTTTAATATGTCTTCCATGACCTCATTTCCACCCCCTTTGCTATCCCCGTGTTCCATTCTTTTCTAAATGACAAGGCACTAATTCAAAACACTCACTTCAATTCCACTTGTCAAGGTTATGATCCGGAGTTGTGGTTCTTGGCAACTCGAGTCTCCGATTCTGCAAAGAGTAGAATTAGATCAACGAATTCGCGGAAATCACGTATGCAATCACGCAAATTATATACGAACACGTACTACACGAAACTCTTGACAAGACAACACAAAGTTTCAAAGCAAATACAATTTTCAAAAACTTTCTCAAACAATTCCGATTTGATACCTAGAACAATATCAAATCACAAAATTCTCGCAAATTCCCTGATAGTTACCGCGAAAAATTCGTCTCACGCTGCTCGAAAAGCTTGGATGCAGCTATAATAACTCGAATTTGTCAATGAATTCGAGTATGGCAATACTTCTGATATTACACTTGCCTCCAGACGTATTTCGATAATTCTTCGATCGAAATCGTCCGTAAAGTGGTAACTCTTCTTTTACCACACAGATCTTTAGTAGTGATCTGTTTTTACAACTCTGCTCTTACTTTCCTTCGAGACAGCGTTGGCTTGCGCTGACCTATTCTTCGTTAGGTAGCACAAGAGTGGGTTTCTCAATCAGTGAGTCCCACTTCGATTCCACCTGGTTTCTTGAGGTGAGAATCGACTTGGAGAGCCCTTAATTTCCTTCGGGTCAACTCCGCTCTCGTCAGGATTCTTTCTTGTCCTTCCGAGGTAATCTCTACGATTTTTTAGATCGAGAGTATCAGAGATTTTTGGGTAATTCTTCTTTTACCCCAAGAGAATCCACGTGAATTCTCTTGCAGATAACCGAGTTTTACGTCGGACTATCTGATCTCTGCCAAGCAAGCCTAAAATGCAACCAAAAACAATAAAAACTTACCTAAAAGCCAATCGATCTTCGTCGCCAAAGTGTTGTCGACTGCGCGGTCGCCAAGTGGTTCAAAGGTCCTCCTGATAGAAGTTCACGGATTCCCCAGAAGTCACACCAAATCCCAAGTATCCCAGCGGAACTATCCAAAGGAATAAAAGAACGCCAATAATAAATATAAAACCCGTTTATCCAGAGGAAGGGTCGATACAATCACGTAAATATCAAAATAGGTAAAACCAAAGTGCCGGCTGGCGGAACTATCCTTGCCAGCCGTTCGTCAATCTGTCCTATTGTCCGAATCCAACCGAC